CAAACACCTCAACAGGGGCATGGGAGCACCTCTGTGCTGCCGGCATTAACCCTTCAGTTGCTGGTTGCAGAGAGGAAGAGCAGGAGGAGAGAGTGGGGTGGGGTGGGAGAGATTGAAATGTTCAAAGTGCTAGGGACACACGGGAGGGAGGCCTGACACTGGGGTCTTCCCAGGCCGAGTATCAGTGGCCAGAGGGACTGTGGACGGTGCCGAGAGCTGGGGAAGACAGCCGAGCGTGGGTGGCATCCCTGCCCGCCCCACGCCATAGTGGTCCTCATCACTCCTTCAGAGGTGCCCCCACCCCTGAGCCTGCTGCAGCCCCTTCTTACCTGCCCCCCCTTCTTACCTGCCCCCCATGGCTCCCCAGGGCAGAAATGGTTGTAGCAAGCCCCCTCCCTGCTGTGCCCCATCCTCTACCTCGTCCCTCTTCTACCCTCACCACACACACCCCTCCGCCAGTCAGGTGGAGGCTGCAGAGCTGGCTCTCCCCAACGGAGGTAAGTGGCAGGGCCCTGAGCAGCCCCTGCCCCCCACCACAGTGTCCACTTCAGGCCTTCAGAACCTCGGCTGAGGCAGCCCACTCTCAGGCCCCCACCGTCATGCTGCAAGAAGTGAGAGCTACACCACAGGCCATGCAAAGGATCAATGGGGGACAGCACATCGGGGCCCCAGGCAAGTACCAGCTGCAGGACGCAGCTACCCTGAACATTGCAAACCAGGCTGTCCTCCTGCCTCCTTGGCCACAGAACATTCGGTGGTGCCAGAGAGCAAGCACCTGCTCCAAGACCAGTGCGGAAAAGTGCAACGGACATGGTCACCAACTAGATGTGATCCCAGCATCCACCTGCTCTGACAACAGCCATGGACCATGATGTCTATATAGTGATGAAAGATGGAACATGCAAGGGGAGGAGGTGGGAGAGGAGGGGAGCTGCTGCAGGCCAACAGACAGAGGCACAGGGAAGGGCAGGCTCTGCTGGCCAGAGAGCAGCAACCGGCTCACACGGGAAAGGCTGGGACAGACAGGGAAAGGCCGGAATGGACATGGAAAGACTGGACACAGAAAGGGAGAGGGTGGAGGCGCGATGAGGAGACTGCAGGGTGTAGTTCCTCCATCTCTGTACCCATTAATCACAAACCAGAGAAAATAAATGGCAGCTCCATCATGCAGAAGCCGGGCAGGTCCCCCCAACAAGGTCAACAGAGCTGATGTCCACAGAAAGGGCTCGTGGTCATAGCCAATGCACCAAGCATGCATCACCACTCGACTGACGCCCCATCCCCCAGAAGGCATCCTAGTGAGGGACCTGCTGCAACTGGCCTGCCTGAGTGGTCCCCACGCATCCACACCACGACAGGAAGGTCAGAGGGAAACCACTCCAGGCTGCAGTGGTCTTGAGACACAAAGACAGACACTGCCTCTCTCTCTCTCTCTCTCTCTGTCTCTCTCTCTCTCTCATTCTCTTGCTCTCATTCTCTCATGCATGTGCAAATTTAAAAGGAATAAGCTAGAACTGAGCTTCAGAAAGTGGTTTCCAAGAGGCTGAGAGAATGAGCAGAAAGTGGGAGAGGTTAGAGACGGTCCCAAAGCCTCCAGGGAAAGAAAGGGGGTAGCGACATGCATTTCTCACAAAATGCTATGGTGCTGGGCTGTGGGGCAGCAGGTTAAGCCTCTGCCTGGGACGCTGCACCCCACATGAGCTCTTGCTCACTTCCGGCCTACTCCATTCTGACCTAGCTTCCTGCGGATATGAAGCAACAGAAGATGGCGTGTGTCCTTGGGACCGTGCACCCATGTGGGAGACCTAAAGAAGCTCCTGGCTTCAGATCAACCCAGCTCTGGCTGCTGGGCCACTTTGTGGAATGAGCCAGAAGATAGAAGATCTCTCTCTCTCTCTCTCCCTCTCTCTCTCTCTCTCCCTCTCTCTTTCAAATAAATACATAAATCTTTTTTTATAAGCAAGTCAAAATTAAATAAGTCTTTGGAAGCATCTCTACCGGGTGGGGAAGACACATTATTGATGTATCTTATTATAATAATATGAAGGACATTGTTGGGACTGGCTATTTGACAATCAATAACCTCTAGACAATTTTATGGCATCTATTATTCGAGTCTCTTTGTTCTGAACCCATGCTGGGTGAAGGCTCAGGGATGCAGCCAGGACCCCAGTCTTAGAGTCTCGGGAAGGCCAAGAGGATACGGTAAGGGTCCCTGCAAACTCTGAACAGCCAAAAACAGGGACAGGAGACTGTAACCCACCCTGAAAAGGAGCCAAGAGGCAGGGGGCGGGAGGAAGTCAGTGGATACCTAGAGCCTACAGCAGCTACGGGCATGAACACTGAAGTTACAACTCTGCACTCCTCTGCCAAAACTGTATCTGGTCCTCGGTCCCAGGAGGTCGCGGCATCCTTAATGCAAGTCACAGGAAGCCTGGACAGAGGGCCTGGCACCTGCTGCAGGATTAGGCTTGAGGCCCCTGCCCACCTGCCAGTCGACGCGACAGAAAGTGCGCCGGGGCCCCCTGCTGGCCGCGGCTCTGCACTGCAAACCTGACTGTTCATTGCCGTGGAAAGGTTTTTTCTGGACATAATGCTTTCCCAAAGTATCCTTTTTCATCCAAAGGCAAGGGACGGGCACAGTCATACAGCCTGGGGTAGGTATCCCAGCGCTGTCACTCACTAGCTACCTTTGCGTGGTCCAGGCTTCTTGCAGTCTGAGTCCCAGGCACAGGCTAAGTGCTTCCCGCTCCCGTACTTGTGATGCAGCCTGCGAGGTCAGGGGCAGTTTGGAGGCCGGGAGCGGCAGGATGCTCCTTCCTTTGCTAACCTCAGGTCCTGCTCTTATGGGGGCCACACTGGGGACAGTCCTGGTAAGCTCTGAGCCCAGCCACACTGTACTGACTTTGCTAAGCTCTGACTGGCCGTACCACGGGTCCTCCCAACATGCAGCCTCAATCTGCTGCTTCCAGCATTCTTTTTAAAAAGAAGTCTTTATTTATTTGTAAGGCAGAGTAGTGGGTGGGGACGGAGGTCTTCCATTCTCTAGTTCACCTCTCAAATAGACGGGACAGTCTGAACTGGGCTGAATGAAAGCCAGGAGCCAGGAGCTTCCCCCGGGTCTCCCACCTGGGTGCTGGGGCCCAAGCACTTGGGCCAACCTCCACTACTTTCCCAGGCCACAAGCAGGGAGCTGAATCGGAAGTGGAGCAGCCAGGATTCAAACCTGTATCCCTGTAGGATGCCAGCACCACAGGTAGAGGCTTTACCCGCTGCACCACCGCACCATGGTGAGGATACCAATGGGCATCCCAAGTCACAGAAATTCCCTCCAGAGCTCAGTCCTCAACATCCACGCAGGATCCGGAGACCTGGCAGTTACAGGGGTTCCCAGGGTCCCTGGTCTCTACCCACCAGATACAGGTGCGCCCTCCAGTGGTGACCATCAGAAAATGTCAGCACACACAGCCTGGTCCACCCAGCAGAGAGCTGCAGCTCACAGGACCACCGGAGCTTGTCCTGTGGTTAGGGGACAGAGGTCCATTTGAAAACAGCTTTCCAAAAAATGAACACAAAATGTTGCATCTTACGTGCGATGAATGTATTTCTTATCATTCCATTTTCCGTTCTGTCAGCATTAAGACTCCAAGGAGACGCTACCGACACTAGCGTTTACAGCAAGAAAAACAACTTTATTATGATTTCAAAGAAGCTGCGGAAGAAAAAAAAAAGAAGCTATGGAAGAACGCAGGCATCCTGATGTCAGTTCTAGAGCTTGAAGAAGCAACTCAAATGTGGCAAGATTTTGAAAAAGTGGTTGATTTTTTTTTTTTTTTTTTTTTTTTTAAAGATTTATTTTTATTATTTTTTATTGGAAAGGCGGATATACAGAGAGGAGAGACAGAGAGGAAGATCTTCCATCCGATGATTCACTCCCCAAGTGAGCCGCAACGGGCCGATACTATGCCGATCCGAAGCCAGGAGCCTCTTCCGGGTCTCCCACGCGGGTGCAGGGTCCCAAAGCTTTGGGCCGTCCTCAACTGCTTCCCAGGCCACAGGCAGGGAGCTGGAAGGGAAGCGGGGCTGCCGGGATTAGAACCGGCGCCCATATGGGATCCCGGGCGTGCAAGGCGAGGACTTAACCACTTGCGCCACCGCGCCGGGCCCGATTTTTTTTTTTTTTTACAGTCACATATAAAAGTAAGAAGTTATAAGCATTCTGAAATCAGTGACAGGAAGCTAAATTCATCAGGATACATTCACTCAGCGGACTAGATGCAGCGCAAACACATCGGCAAAGGTTCACTCCAGTGTGGGGGAGGGGCAGGCCCGGCTGCTAAGTGGGAAAAACAATGGGTAGCAAGTGTCTCCGTGACAATAAAAACCATGCACACAACATGTAAAAAGTACTTCGGCTGAACACTGGCAGCCTGGATGAGCTTTTCTGAAGTGCCCTAAGCTGTAAGAAGCATGAGTTATTTTTCCCTGGGGCCAGAACAATAAAAACTGATTTATGAAAGCACTCCAAAGTGATTGCAAATAAAACCTGCCCAAATTTCAAGTCAGGAAGATGTGTTTCCCTCAGTCATCTGTCCAGATGCTAAAAGCAACATTGGTCAAAACTTGACCTCCTCCTGCCGGGTAAGCTAAGCGTGATGGTGCCAGTGTTCATTAGCGCTGAAAGGGGTATCATTTAGCAGGAATGATTGTCAGGAAAAGCTCATAGGATGCCCTGTGAGAAACCTCAAGCCAAAATGCTTCTTCTGAAAGACCGGCCATCTCTGCTCCAACCTCGCATGCAGCCTGACACCACAAGCTCTCGTTGAGACAGAGCACAAAGGAGCTGTGTTTGGTTAGGATGAACCGGGCAGGGACAGCCGCTCATCCCTTCGGCTCCAACTTGTCTGCAAGGAAACTGGCAGAGGCAGACGGCAGGTGTGTGTGTGTCAGGTGCTGTTTGCCCAGGAGCTCCCTGTCAGGTCCCATGGGCAAGACCCCGCCTATATCTTACAGTAGACCTCAAAGAGAGAGGCGGCTGCGTGCATGCGGTAGAAAATAGAGAAGGGCATGGCCAGGTTCACCACGATGATCCAGGGCTCAAAGCCGAAGACCGTCTCCTCCAGGCCGTTGTCGTATTCAGGCCGGCAGCCGAAGGCGGGGGGGATCCAGAGCTGTGGGAGGAAAGGAGGGGGCGTCACACTGAACAGTTCCCAGCTCCGAGGAAGCCCCAGGTCTGGCCTGGGTGAGTGGGGAGGAGGTGCAGGCCTGAACTCCCCAAGCCAGAGCCACACCTGTGGGAAGAACAAGACACTGCACCGTCATCCCCCTGTCCCCGGAAGCCATCATGCCCGGAAGTCTCTGTCCTCTCCCCCTCCCACCCAACTCCATCCATCCATCCATCCCCACAGCCCTCACTGGACTCAGTTTCCTCATCTAGGAGATGGGCGAACAATACCTCCCATACAACAAAACAGATCTAAGTGTGAAGCCTAAAGCAGTGACCTCATATGTTTGCTGTTCCCCCTTTCCTCCCTCCCCTTCCACTGTCAGGGCTCCCCCGGAATCAGCTTGTAGGAGTCAGTCGCTCTGGGCTCCCGCTGCGAACACACAGCCTGTGGTCATTACCCACTGCTTGCTCATGCTCTCTCTCTCTCTCATTTTACTCTAACCGCAGAAGCCCCCAGTCCAGGATTCTCTGGTGCCAGAGCCCCCCGGTTTGCATCCCTTCAGCACTCCTCCTCATGTCCCAAGAGACCTAAAGCCAGAATCAGATTTGCTGGGCAGACCCACGGCCATTTTGACTTCTGTGGGCCGGCCCATGATCATTCTGACTCCCGTGGGCAGACCCACGGCCATTCTGACTCCCGTGGGCAGACCCACGGCCATTCTGATTTCCATTGCCCCCTCCCTGCCCTGCATGACGCCTTAAGGAGGTACGGGAGAGTGAACGCACCTGGACTCGGACCAACTGACCCACTGGAGTTAGGGCCAGGGAGCTCAGCAGCAGATCAGCCAGTAGGAAAACAAGGACAGGCCAGCTGCAATGGCCTCAGTACCGCTGCTAGAGAACAAGCAGCAGGCCCCTCCCAGGGAGAGACTCTCCTGCTAGCCGCAGCCATCGCAGGGCCCCGGACGGGTCAGCAGCTGCTGCTGCTCCTTCCAAACAGGCCCTGCTGCCCCTCCCATTGTACACTGTGCCTTGATTTCATTCTCCCTGTGCCTCTTGGACAAACTGCTTATCCCACCTGGACCACCCAGTGACAGGTGGGTGACTGGACACCTTTCCAAACTTCCTCCCATCATCACACTACACAGCAAACCAGGTGTGCCCCTCCCACCTGTGCAGCTAGGACTGGGCCCGAGGAACAGTGTTGGGGTACAGCCATGCTCTCATCTTTCCATCTGGAACCAGGTATGACTGCTAATGCTGCAGACAGCTGCTGATCATGTGGCAAAAATAACAGCAAGCATGCACGAGGGCAAACACAACGTGGTTCACCTGCAGACAAACCCCTAAGCCACTCACTTACAAACTCTGTGAGACAGCTCGGGAAGACCAGACCTCGGGCGGTCAAGGTGCTTAGGAATCACAGGTCAAGTTCATCTCAACAATGCTGGATTTGCCGGAAGCACTGTCTACCAGAGCCAGGTGCCCAGCTCACCTGCTGTGTGTCGTTCCAGCCCCACCCTCAGTCCCAGCTCACCTGTACCTGCTCCTGCCCATCTCAGCCCCCACCTTCAGTCCCACCTCATATGCACTTGCCCATCTCAGCCCCCACCCTTAGTCCCAGCTCACCTGCTCCTGCCCATCTCAGCCCCCACCCTCAGTCCCAGCTCACCTGCTCCTGCCCATCTCAGCCCCCACCCTCAGTCCCAGCTCACTTATACCTGCCCATCTCAGCCCCCACCCTCAGTCCCAGCTCACCTGCTCCTGCCCATCTCAGCCCCCACCCTCAGTCCCACCTCATATGCATTTGCCCATCTCAGCCCCCACCCTCAGTCCCAGCTCACCTGCTCCTGCCCATCTCAGCCCCCACCCTTAGTCCCAGCTCACCTGCTCCTGCCCATCTCAGCCCCCACCCTCAGTCCCAGCTCACCTGCTCCTGCCCATCTCAGCCCCCACCCTCAGTCCCAGCTCACCTGCTCCTGCCCCATCTAGATCCGTCATCCTTAAGGTATTACCCCTTGGCTCCCTCCCTAAGCATACTCTTCCCATCTTTAATCCTCAGTTTCCAGCCCAGATTCAGGCCCCAGTTACTCCCCCTGCAGGTGGATTTGCAGACATATACAAGGATACTTCAAAGAGTATGTGGAAAATGGAGTAAGGAGAGGAAACTTGGTTGTAAAGCAATTTTGAAATCCAAGGAGAATTTCAACAACCTACATTTTCCATGAATTTTTGAAGAGCCCCTACTTTTTCCACCCTCATACTTTGAGGAATTTTGTGACAAGCTGCCTCCCCGCCTTATCTGAAAAAGACAAGAAACATAAATGGCTTGATTTCAAAACAAGCATCAGATGCTGGCACCATGGCATAGTAGCCTAAGCCCTGCCTGCAGCCCAGCATCCCATAGGAGCACCAATCTGTTCCAGCTGCTACGCTTCCAATCCAGCTCCCTGCTAACACTCCTGAGAAAGCAGCCGACGGAATGGCCCAAGTCCTTGACTTCTTTGCACCCACAGGGGAGACTTGGAAGAAGTTCCTAGCTTTGAGTCAGTCCAGTTGCAGCCCTTGTGGCCACTTGGGGATTGAACCAATGGATGGAAGATTCTGTTTCTCCTTCTCTCTGTAGCTTTTCACTTCAGAGCAAAATAAAATAACTTTAAAAAGCTCAGAGGGGATGCACTTACCGCAATGTTGCAGAGGAACAAGAAGGCTGTGACGTTCCTCAGGACGCTCCTCTTGGCATTGCCCTGCAGCAAGAGGGGGCAGCAGGCTCGGTGGAGGGCCTCAGCCTGGCCACTCTCCTCCTCCTCTTTGCCTCCAGCTTCTGGCAGACATGTGTTGCCGTTAGCAACCCACGGGCTGTGCCCACCCTGGGGAGCCTGATCCCCAGCCACACCTGGGCTGCTCTGGAGGCAGGCAGCAGGCAAGGGCGTGGCGTCGCTGCCACACACGGTGACCACACGAAGCGTTCGGATGTCTTCAGAAAGTGTTTCGGGCTCCCGGTGGACAGACTCAATGATGAAGAGGTTCTGGATGGACTTTTCAGCGATCACCAGGACCGAGTAGGGCAGGTTGTACCAGGTGTAGGGGGGGCAGGTGTCAGCACAGATAATGGCCAGGATGGAGCCCCAGGAGATGAGCCAGGAACCGGAGGCTGTGCCCACCAGGAGGTCCGTGTCCAGCTTGCGGGCCGGGTTTTTGGACTCGTCCAACGACTTGTTGTCCATTCGGTGGAGCTGGATGCCTAGCAGCCCCGCAGCCCCCATGAGCAACAGCAGTGCAATGGCGTACAGGTAGAACATGATGAGCGCCGACTCGCTCTTGCTCTTAGAGCGCCCAATCCGAATCAGGTATGCCACCACCACAGCGATGGTGGCAGCCAGCACAGCCAGGCCAAGGGCAGAGCCCACCGCCACCCCATGGAACCTGAACTGCATCTGCCGGGGCTGCTGGCTGTCCATCCTACGGCCGATGTTTTTCCATAGGACATAGAGCATGGTGGAGGCCAGGATCTGGTACTCAATGTTGAAGGGGTACAGGTAGTAGATGCCAGAGGAGACGGCCGAGCAGAAGGCCTGGGGTGTGCAGTTGCACTGCGGGGTGTGGTCATCCAGAACTAGGGGACAGCAGAGCCCCGGGTCAGGGCAGGGGCTGTTAGTGCTCCAAGCAGAGACATGGAGGAGCTCAGATAAGTGTGTCCCTTTTGGGAGCCAACTGCTGCGTCTTCCCACCACACCCAGGCTGGGTCTAGGCTAGGTCCTCCCACACACCCAGGCTGGGTCTAGGCTAGGTCCTCCCATACACCCAGGCTGAGTCTAGGCTGGATGTTGTGTGTCCTATCATGGGGACACTCAATGTTCTCAAAAGACCTCTATGCACAGCCCATCTCAACCAGAAAGCGCATCATTGTGCCTAAAGGAAAGGTTACTGGTCAACCTAGGAAGACATTGACCAGGCACTCAGGATAGCAAGAGGAGAGAAATTTGGCTCCATTTTTGCAAAATATCCATATAGTCATGGCAAGCAAGTAAAAATAGCTGGAAACATCTAGAAGCACATAAACTAGAAGTTCATAAATGCTAACAATGTTTTTTATTTGTTTTTGTTTTGTTTTTGATAGAAAAATGGCAGGCAGGGTCCAGCACGAAGGCCTAGTAGCTGAATCCTTGCCTTGCATCCACTGGGATCCCATATGTGCACCGGTTTGTGTCCCAGCTGCTCTGCTTCCATTCCAGCTCCCTGCTTGTGGCCTGGGAAAGCAGTAGAGGATGGTCCAAAGCCTTGGGACCCTGCACCCACATGAGAGCCTGGAAAAAGCTTCTGACTCCTGGCTTCAGATCAGCTCAGCTCTGGCTGTTGCCACTTGGGGAGTGATCTGGCAGATGAAGGGTCCTTCTCTCTGTCTTTCCCTCTCTCTGGGTCTGCCTTTCCAATAAAAATAAATATATCTTGAGAGAGAGAAGAAGAAAAAAGATGACAGGGGATTTTTCTCTTCTATGCTATGTTTTCCTGTTTCTCCAAATCTTTTCTATGAATATGATCTACCTGTATGATTTTCAAATTATCGTCCAAAAATATCCCCATGGTGGGTGGAAGAAATGTCCCTTGTAATCAGCAAAGATTTTGCTCTTAAAGCTGTCGGTCACTGGGGCTACCATTGTGGCATAGCACATAAGGACTCTGCCTGTGACACTGGCATCCCATCTGGGCACCAGTGCAAGTCCCAGCTGCTCCACTTCCAATCCATCTCTCTGCTAATATGCTCAGGAGAGCAGCAGAAGATGGCTCAAGTCCTTGGGCCCTTTCGCCCAAATGAGAGACTGAGGAGTGCCTGGCTCTGGCTTTGGAGTAGCCCAGCTCCAGCCATTGCAGATACTTGGGAAGTGAGTCATTGGATGGAAGATCTCTTTCTCTCTCTCTCTTTACAAATTCTACCTATTAAATAAACATTTTTTAAAAAGACTGTCAGACACTGGCAAGACTGGCAGGAGGTAGGTGCACCGAGACCATGTGGATTCCAGGGGATAGAATGGGGGCAGCAGCGCAAAACTGCTTCTTGATTCGGGAAAAGGCTGCAAGCCAATGAGGGTGAGTGACTGATACAGATGCAGCCTTAGGCCCCCATTCCACCCAACCCACCCTAGGAACAAGCAAAGTGTGTCTTCTAAGTGTGTGGGCTTGGCGAATGTTGGGTGTATTCTGGTACAGCCACATCATGGAAGAGTTGGCAGGCATTCAGAGGGAAATGAAGAGATGGGCAATTAGTGTAGTGGTTAAGATGATAGTGGTCCTCTGGGTGCCTGAGTTTGACCGCCTCCTGCAGCTCCTGACTCCAGCTCTCTGCTAATGCACACGTGGGCAGGCAGCGGTAGGTGATGGCTCGGGAGGTGGGCTCCTGTCATCCATAGGGGAGAGATCCAGATACAGTTCTCAGCTCCAGCCATGGAGCCTCTGAGGAGGGAGCCAGCAGATGGGAGTGCTCTAGGCAAAAAGATGTACAGGTGGCTAGATGGGTACATGGATGGATGAAAGGAAGGAAGAAAGAGTGGATGGATGGATGGATGGATGGATGGATGGATGGATGGATGGATGGATGGATGGTTGGTTGGAAATAAAGGTGGAAGGATAGATGAAAAGAAGGGTGGATGGATGGATGGAAAGAAGGGTAGATGGATGGAAAGAAGGGTGGATGGATGGATAGATGGATGGATGGATGGATGCATGGATGGTTGGTTGGAAATAAAGGTGGAAGGATAGATGAAAAGAAGGGTGGATGGATGGATAGATGGGTGGATGGATGGATGTCTTTTTGCCTCTCAGATAAACAAAAAGGTTTAAATATATTTAAAATAGACTTTTAAAATTGTACTTGAGCCTTGCCTTCTGAGCCTGTAGGGTAACACCTATGTTGTTGAATAAGATACATTCTAAAATGGCTAAATTGAGCCAAATTCTAGCCATCTGGCCCCAATAGCCCTCTAAAAATAATGGACTTAGATTTGTCTGTCAAGAGCAGGCATCCATCACTCCAACCCCATCAATCTGGACCTTCCCTCCTGACCCTTGTCCTGTCCCTGAACAAGACCCTACTGAGCTGAGACATGGGGAGACTCCGTAGGAGTTCAGCAGTGCTGAACCAGCAACAGTGGGTGGGGGCACCTTGCAAGTCCCACTGCTCTGAGATGCTCCCACCTGTGAGTGGTGTGTGTGTGGAATGGAAGCTAACACGCAAGTGACTCCAGGCTGCCCCACCCCCAGTCCTGGGGCAGGTGGTGGAGGAGCTACCTGCCTAGAACAAGACTTGCTTTCCTTGGGGCCATGGCTGTGACTCACTAATGCCAAGGTGGAAGTGAGGTGCTACGAGAAAGACTCCTGGGATCTCTTGGGAATGGCCAGGACTGCCAAGCTAGGGTAGCTGGGAGGGGCTTCCCCTGGTGCAACACCCCCCTACAACTAACAGGAAAGGGAGGAGCAGGGATGTGGACTGTCCCTGAAGCTCATGCAGCTGGTATGTGACAGGACCCAAGCCCTTCCCCATGTTACCCTCAGCTTGAGCAAGATGGATTGTATTGTAAATGCTCAAGGATTCAGAGACAAATGGAAGGACAGGGGCTACAGGCCCTCAGAGGAACAAGCAAGAAAAGAAAACAAAAGTCCAACAACCTTCCTGAAAATGACAACTGGCCCATGCAACCCACCATTAAACATGCACGGGCCTGTTGAAAACCTCACTCTTAGTAAAAGCAACAGGTCATAGGGGCTGAATTAAAACGCAACCAGGAACAGCCAGACATCTTCCTCATTGCTAGAAACAAAGATGCCTCTTTATCTTGCAAACTGGGCCGTGAGAACCAGGCACCAGCCCTGCATCAAGGCGCAAGCCTGTCATGCTCACACACCCTGCCTCCGTGGCAGAGGAGAGCCAGCCCGAACAGGTGTGGGGAGCTTTTCAACAATGGAGAATTGTCTGCAGATGTAGACTTAAGGGACACCTGCGGGTCTCTGGCTCCTGCTCCTCCCGCCCCTTGCTGCATCTTGGAACATTCTGGTGTGCACAGAGCCCCCGGGAGTCTTAATTTGGCAGAGAGAGAGAGACCCTGCCTGCTCACCCATCGTCACATTCCCGAAGCCCAGGGTGATAAGGCGGCCCTTGTGCTCATTCAGCTGGTGCTTGGACTCGTTGAGGACACCGTTGGCCCACAGCAGCAGGTTGGTGAACACCGAGTGGATTACCCCAAACCTGCAAGCACAGAGAGTGGCTCCAAGCAGCCCTGGGAGAACACCAGGCCCCAGAGTGTGAGACTGAGATGCCACCGCCGTGTGCGTGAACACACGCATGTGAGCATTCATGAGTATGCATGTATGCACGCATGGACGTGTGTGCACCCACACATGCGTGCATTCCCCACACATGCCCACACACACACGCCTCCTCTTAAGTCACCATCTAGTGTCTTCCAGCCACACAGGCTCCAGGTGAATTTGACTGTAAAAGGCAGCTCCTTGGGCCTTCGGCCTTCATCTTGCACTTGCTGCAACTCGTGGTCTCCAGGACTTTTAAAGAGGCTGTGTTGGAAACAGGGCTACAGGGAAATTAACTTCCTCAAAGGAAGCAACCAGCTGCCCTGCTGCCCAGGTTATGGGTAAGTCTGAGAAGGCTTTGCTTTCTGGATCAAAGACAGAGGAATGAAGAAAGCCTGTTCATGGCTCTATGCCATGCTGCCTCTTAGAAAGACATGGCAGTAAAGAGAATGGGATGACAGCAAATGCTAGACCCTGGGGACAGAGGAGAGAACGGGGTGGGACGCAGCTCATGTAGAATCACTGTGGTTCCAAATCCTCCAAGGTCTGCCACACCCACGGGCTCCAGGTGGCATCCGTGGCATCAGCTGTATGCCTTGAAGCTCACAGGTGATCTGGGAGAGGTGTCAGAGCTGTCTGGGGAGTCAGGCACTCGCACACCAGAGAGCCGAGGCCAGAGGAAGCACGTTCCTCCCTTTCTAACACCACTGGCCCATGTCTCCCACTGAAGAACCTAGATGTTTTCTGCCTTTGTGATTCTGCCTTAATGGCTCGGCTGGGGGCTGTGTGAACTCCAGGCCTGATAGTCTACGTGACACCCCGCAGGACACCTGGCAGGTCACCAGGCAGACCACTGCTCAGGAAGGAGGTACCTGGTGTTTGATAAGATTCACAGCCCAATAGCTCATCGATTTGTGCTTTTTGAAAGTTGCTTGTTTCAAATCCACCAATAGCAGCCTGCTAAATCATGACTGTATAATTAATAGCCTGAAATGTATAAGAATGCTGGGCTCTTGCTCACGCTTCTTTTTGTCCTCCTTGCGGATCCTACAGCAGCCTCGTCTGTGGCTGCCCCTCCCTTGCCCAGCCCTACTGGGCTGGGGGAGGTAGCTGGGAGACCTAGGTTAACCTGAATAAACCACCTTTATGCCTTAGCACCGACTTCAGACTTGATGATTTTCTGGGGATTTCAAAATCCGGCACATCACTACTTCCATGAAAAGTGGTGCAGCCATGTCCTCAACCCTGCCAAGCACTGTGGAACTCCTGAGAGCAACCCCAGGCAAGCCCTCTCCTCCTCTGAACCCTGCCTGCTGGAGGCAGCTGTGCAGCCATGCCTGAAAAAGAAACAGAGTCCCAAGGTGCCTGAGCGAGGGCTTGCCCCCTCCACTGCCCTCACGCTTTGCCTATTGCTGTGGCTGGCACCTGGGCAGCCGTCTACGGGCCCTTTGACAATAGCACACGATGGTGTTGGTCTCCACCTGCCTGGCTTTGCTCTGACTCATCCTGCACCTGGCTCCCTTTTCTCTCTCTTTTTTCCTGACCCACATGCATTGTCACACTCCCGGCTCACCAAACTCCAGGAAGAGGCATCGATAATGTCCGGCAGGTGCCAACGGTTTCCTGCAAGCTGGCAGTGCCCTGCCTACTTGGTGTGGCCATGGCCCTGCATGGCGTGGACAGGTGGCCTTTCCTGCCAGGTGCTTTCTCACGCCCATAACCCTAGCCGACAACCAAGACGAGCCTTCCCGAACTCGGGGTGTTCCCAGCCCTAGAGCCAACGCCACCTGACCCCTGAACTGTGAGAAAGGAAAAGAGTCAAACCATGGCAGGACATTGTGTGTTCTGGGCAGAACTTCTGGAATGTGCTGAGAGTGTAGGGTCATGGAGTACCGACTCAAGACCAGAATAAAGCAGCTCAGTGTGTGCATGGGTAGGTCCAAAATCCTTAGGGGAGCCTAGTGGGAAATCAGGGTGGCAAAAAGGAATGGTGGGGACTGCAGGGAAAACTGAGGGTCCAAACCCATCTGCAGAAAGCAAGCCCAACTCGCTTGTTTGTTTGGGATGCCAATTACACTTTTTCTAGAAAAATCTAAAAGCTAGAGGCAGTAAGTAACTCAATGTCACACAGCAGACTAATCGAAGCTGAGGTAATACCTAGCTCAAGTCACTCACTCTCTACACCTTGTCTCCCAACTCAACCCGCAAGGCCAAGGCCTCGGCAGGCCCTGAGATGACAGGTCTGATGAAAAGATAAAGCAGATGGGACTGTTTTACACTTTCTGGTGGCCACATCCAACGTGGCAGGAAAGAGGGCCAGCACAAGTGGTGGTGAGACTGCTGTGCCCACACAGAACCAAAGCCAAGGACAATCATAACGACACACTCTCCCTTTGGCGATTCACTCTGGTCCCCGGAGGCTGCAGGGTCCAGGGCACCGTGGGGAGTGGCCACAGGGCCCCCGGCCTAGACACCTGCTTTCTTTCTCCAAGCCTCCATCTTCTCACCAGTTCAGTGGGTGTCACAGCTCTCTCTGTTGCCCTGGACAGCCAGGGCTGGGCATGAGAGGGCGCCTGTGTGTGACACAGAGAAGAACACTGCAAGGGCCTGCGTTCCATCCAGCCAGGAGTCCATGGCTCCACGCATGGGATCATACACATTGGCTGGGGACAGCTCAGGATCCCAGGAATGTCACCCAGGCCTTCAACCAGAGAGGTTCATCGTGATGTTGCTTAGAATCTCAGCACAGATGCTCCAGCACACAGCATGTCTGACCGACAGTACCAGATCCCAGGGCTCCTGCAGCTCCAGCCCCAGTGCGACTGGATTTGGAGATCGAGCCTTTAAAGAAGAACCTGAGGTCACAAACGTCTCGTGGCTAGGGCTGCGTGTTCGTACATGAAGTGCAGTGGCCACCAGGGCTGCGTGTGTCAGGTGCCAGGTGTGGCCATGGTGAGAACGTGGCTGTCCACCAGCCAGAAAGAGCGCCCTCCCCACACACCAGCCTGGAGCCCTTTAACCTTGGACCTGAAGCTGTGGCTGCCAAGTTTCAGATGCCTGAAGAGCTGGGAGAGCAGGTAAACAGCCACTTCCCGCAGCTTGTGTGACGGTCCAGCTTGACGGGCCAGGAGCAGGGCCGACACAGGCATGTACTCTATCTCCTTTCTCAGCAGAGAGGGAGGCCACCAGATTCATATTTCTGGAGTTGGATCACTGCCAAGGGCCAGCACTGGGACACAGCAGGTAACACCACAGCCTGCAATGCCAGCATTTGATATAGACACTTGTTCAAGTTCCGGCTGTTCCACTTCCAACCCAGCTACCTGCTAATGCACCTGAGAAAAGCAGCACACGTCGGGGCCCCTGCCACCCATGCAGAGCCAGAGATGGAGCTCCTGGGCGCCAGCCTGACCCAGTCCAGGCTGCTGCTCACTCATTTATTCGCTCTTGCTTTGTCACTCTTTCCCACCACCCTCCGTAACTCTGAATTTCAAATGAATCAATAAGTCTAATATATATATAATCTATATATATGTAAATATATATAAATCTTATATATAATCAATAGATCTAATATATATAACTTGTATATATAAATCTAATGTGTATATATATATATAGCCAAGGCCACTGCCTGAGACCTCAGAGGACAGCCCCAAACACCAGGGCCAGCTCCAGGACAGCCCCGAAGACCCAAGGCCACCTCAGTAAGTCAACGTTGCACGGCCCCTAGCAGCACCCCAGGAGATGCCCAGATGTTCACCAGTGGGAATGCTTTGGGTGTCACGAGGTGAGGGGATCCATTTCTAAGTACAGATTCTATTGAACAAGTTCTACCCAGGGCTAGGGATATTCTGGTCTCTGAAATATCAACGGTTACCACAAATGGTGCTGGGGGAGCTTCCTGTTACTGACCTGATACGACGCGGGACCTCCTCACGAACAAGCACTCACGCCTGACCCCACCGATGGGTGCCTACCACGCTGAACAACAGCATCACAACACTTTGCCTTCAGGCCAGCCCCCTCTCCCCTGCCTGATCATCCAGGCCACTGTCCCACGCTGCTCACAACCTCCTGAAATAATGGTGGTCAGAGACAGTAATGGGGCTGGTATGTATGAAGGACTTCCTGCCTGCCACCACAAGCCATGAGCTTTAGGACAATTGCCCCCTACAGTCCTCAGAGGCAGCCTGCATAATTGTGTCCATTGTACAGATGGAGAAAACTGAGAGTTGGGAAGGGCAAGTGTCTAATTCGAGCCCACTCCCACTGTATTTCCAGGGCATTCTCTGGAACGGGAGTGAAAGCAGGGACTCTCTGTGGCCACGAATAACATCCTGGCTTTTGGGAACTGAGTGAGACCGGGTCTCAAGCAATATGCCAGTGGTGAGCTCTGTCCTGAACTAGATCCAGTTCCAACACAGAAAGCAGCTGTCCGCCATGTTTACCTTTCCAGCGTTTTGAAAGACTGGATAACATCCTTCGCGTGCCCCCAGAGGAAATAGACCTGGACGGAAATACAGAGAGACAGGAAATGCGCATCAGTGGGGAAGCCATCACTGCACCTGCACCCTGGGGAAGCTATAGCACTTACAAGTGAGGGCACATGCTGTGGACCTCAGCGACCTCCCTGCACAGCCACAAGTCAGCCTTTCTGGTTCTGGTTTTCCCACCTTTGAAGTGGGGATGACAGTGGCACTCCCCTTGGAAGGCACAGGGAGCAGTGGCACGGTACCCATCAGTGGCTTTGGACAGACAGGGGCCTGTGTGTTTCCTGCTGTCCACTCAGCCAGCACGTGAGTTATAGAAAGCAGATCAAAGCGAGAGACCCATATCGTCTCGTCCCGGTGGTTCTGCTTAAGATGTACCTTCTTGTTCAGGAAAGGCCTCTCCAAGAACAACTCTCTAGGAACTGCCCACCCCACTCCGACTGCTGTCTCCACCTTCCAGGGAATGCCGACCCTGACAGCCACCGCGAGAGCTCAAAGGTGACTGGATCCCTGCCACCTGCATGTGAGACCAGGACTGTGTGCCGCACTCCCGGCTTCAGCTCCAGCCCGATGCTGGCCACTGTGCATTTTTAAAGTAAGCTAGCTCATGCTTGCTCTCTCTCTTAAATAATACACATATTGAATGACTCCATTTGTTTAAATATCTAATCTATTCTCTCGACATCTTGGATGAAAGGTACAGTCCCTGTGCAGAGGTATAGAGTGATTGAGGATTCATTGATTCATCGACTAGCTCATTGATAAAATGCCTTATATTAGAAAACTGCAGGTCTCCAACCACCCAGAGTGATATTTTAAAAAAGTACACATCTGTTCAGGTCATTGTTCCACCTAAAGTCATCAATGGCTCCCTATCACTATGTTTGCATTTATGAGGCGTAATCCCCACACGAGCATTCACCATCCTCTGCAAGGTGCTGTCCATCAGCTGGCCCCTCACAGATAAAGTCATGACACCCCAGAAGCATTAAGCAACATACCTGGAACCAGGTGGGCTCCACCCCGGCCCGTAGCCTCAGCTCCACCTCATCCCTGAAGCCACAGTGGGGAGGACTTGGTTTCTGTTGTGAACCTGGGGGACTCCATACACCACAGGTCCAGGTGCAAGGCAGCCCCTTGCAGAGTCTCCTAGCAAGCTCCCCACCTCTCCCGATCCACATCTGAGTTCGCTGGGCACCTGCTATCAGAAAGCTTCACCATTGAAGTGATCTCAGATAAATGTGTGGGGATGTCCAGAACTGCCTCTAGCCGTGCACCTAGAGATCACTTGGTCAACACGGAATTGTTAAGACGCCATAACTGGGCCCAAAAGGAGCGCTGCAGCGATGGTGTCACTGAGCAAGTGCCCATGCTTCCTGGCATAGATAAGAACAATCACGGCCTCACAGCTGCTGAACCTAAGAGTGTGTCCTCTGAGCTCCAGCTTCTCCCTTCCGGGCAGAAGGGAGCTTGCTCTTGCCCTACTCAGAGGATGCTTTGCAACGTGAAATCACCCACACACAAGAAGACAGGCAGCATGTGAAACTACTCATGCATGGAACCTAACACACCAACACCAAAACAAGGACTCTGAGAGTGCAGCAGTGGCCAGGGGAGGCCAGGGGATGTGTTGTCGAAGGGTGCGGAGTCACAGATGTGCGGGGTAGATAGACAAGTCGAGTGATCTGACACAGCAGCACAAGCACTGTGGGCTACAGTACTACCTTGTACACAGAAAGCTTGCTAAGGGATGGGATTTGACCTCAACAAAAGGAAAGGAACTGCATGAAATGATGGAAAGCTGATTTGCAGGACTGTAGTATCATTCCACTACGTGTGTCTTTATCAAAGCATCCTGTTGCATACCTAAGATGTTTCCAGTAAGGAAAAGGCATTTGCAGCACAGTGGGTTAAGCTGCCACATGCAACGCTAGCATCCTCTAAGAGTGTCAGTTTGAGTCCTAGCTCCTCTCCTTGTGATCCGACTCCCTGCTGATGCACCTGGGAAAGCATCAGAAGATGATCCAAGTGCTTAGGCCCCTGCCACCCATGGGAGAACCTCAGATAGGATTCCCGGCTCCTGGCTTCAGCCTAGCCCAGCCCTGGCTGTTGCAGCCATTTGGGGAATGAACCAACAGATGGAAGATCTCTCTCTCTCCTCCTTCTCTCTGTAACTCTGCCTTTCAAATATTTTTTTTTTTTAAATCAAGAAAAGAAAAAATTGATGGTGACCATCCCACACCTGTTCTCAAAGAGTTCCTAAAGCAATTACACAAGGAGAAAAATGAGAAGTATTTTGCATGCTGGAAAGTGCTTCTGGACTATTGGCTATGACTTTCATTACTTGCATTACCAGAAAAGCAGTGACCTTAATGCTCGTGTCCACTGTCATGGATGCCGCCAAGGACAGATGACAGGGAAGGTCCAGGATTTTGTTCAACCTTGAGACTTTCTGACTTTAAGCTATGCATTTAAAGTATATGTGTCAGGGCCTGGCACCGTGGCCTAATGGCTAAAGCCCTCGCCTTGAACGTGCCAGGATCCCTATGGGCACTGGTTCTAATCCTAGCAGCTCCACTTCCCATCCAGCTCCCTGCTCGTGGAAAAGCAGTCGAGGATGGCCCAAAGTCTTGGGACCCTGCACCCGTGTGGGAGACCTGAAGGAAGTTCCTGGCTCCTGGCTTTGGGTTGGCGCAGCATCGGCACGTTGCAGTCACTTGGGAAGTGAATCATCAGACGGAAGATCTTCCTCTCCATCTCCCCTCCTCTCTGTGTATCTGACTTTGCAATAAAAATAAATCTTTTTTAAAAATAAAGCGTATCTGTCAAATCTACTCTTCTTAGCCACGCCAAGTTCACTAATGCTGAGAAAGAGAACCACATATATTTCAAAAGCTTTTCATCCTCAAGGGGACTAATGAAAAAGAATTCCAGGGACCCAAGCAGTGGCTATCTGACACAAGGCTTCTCTTGGGGGATAAAGATGTTCTAAAATGGATCATGGTGATACATGTCATAGCACTGAATTCTACACAGTCTGGGTGAGACTTGTCACAGCATACTCAGAAAAATAAGATTCCTCCCCCAGGTCTTTACTGGAGGGCTCTGACTTGGTAGGCTTTCCTGTCCAAGCGGACACAGAGCCCCATTTCACAGGGGAGGCAGCTAGAGGACTGGGCATCACAGATGGACTCAGGTCCACATTGGGACTCACGACCAAGTCCTCAGCTGCTCACACTGTTACACCTGCTAGATGTCTTATACTTGATTCATTTTCCATTTATTTGAAAGGCATAGAAATGAAGAGACTGACAGAGAGATCTGCCATCTGCTAAGGACTGAATGAGGTTCAGTCCGTGCCTCACATGTGGGTGTCGGGGGATTCAGGCTTGAGCCATCACCTGCTCCGCCCATGGTGAGCATCAGCAGGAAACCAGATGGACGAGGAGAAGCTAAGACTCAACCAGGCACTCCAACTGGGATGCAGCATCCCAAGCAGCACCTTAGTCACTGCCCAAATGACCATTCCTCCTCAGCTTGCTGATGTTGTGGGGGCTTAAGCATCCTGGGACGCACTTCACAGGAACACAGCACAACTGGACTCTGGGCACTTACCTGCAGGAGAGTGTGCACTGCATGTGTGACAGGGAAGACTGCTTCAGTGGCGGACAAGCATGCCGAAAATCCCACGAAGTACCCAATTTTAAGGCATCCCAGGATGATGGTAATGATTGCAAACAAGGTGATGCTGCCTAAATTGAGGGGGAGGGGATACGCACATACATGTGTGTTAATATGCACTGATGTCACTTCGAGATAATTATATTCAGCACTCTCGTATTGGTCCAGATTTTTTACAAGGACACCAAGACCAATCAGAGGGAAGGAACAGTCTTCTCAACAAATGGTGCTGGGAGGGCCCAGCACGATGGGCTAGTGGCTAAAGTCCTCGCCTCACATGCACCAAGATTCCATGTGAACACTGGTTTGTATCTCAGCTGCTCCACTTCTCATCCAGCTCCCTACCTGTAGCCTGGGAAAGCAATTGAAGACGGCCCAAAGTCTTGGGATCCTGCATCTGCGTAGAAGACCCAGAAGTTCCTGGCTCCTGGCTTCAGATCAGCTCAGCTCTGGCTGTTGCCACTTGGAGAATGAACCAGGAGACAGAAAATCTTCTCTCTGTATCTCCCTCTCTCTGTATATCTGCCTTTCCGATAAAATTTTTTAAATAAATAAATCTTTTTTAAATGGTGTTGGGAAAACATGAGATCTACATTCAAAACATTGAAGTAGCGTCCTTTCTAGATGCCATACTTAATAAATAACTGAAAAAGAATCAAAGACTTGAATACCAAGAAAAAAGCATAAACTCTGAAAGGAAAACAGAAGAGAAAATCTTTATGACATGGGATTTGGCAATGATGATTTGGCTGTGACAAAAGCACAAACAACGAAAGTAAAAATAGATGAGCTAAACTACCTTACAATGAAAAACTGCATCGGGGCCACCATCAGTGAAAAGCCAACCGCAAAAAAGAGAAAAATATTTACAAAGTACTTATCTGCTAAGTCATTCATACCCACAATACAAACGGACATCCAGGGTTCAACAACGAACACAAAGGTAAACCAACCTGCTTTAAGAAAGGACATGAATAGACATTTCTTCAAAGAAGAGATTAAAACATCCAACAAGTACAAGAAATAATGCCCCACATGACCGATCATTGAGGAAATGCAGACCAAAAGGCCAAGCTACCGCCTCACTCCCGCCAGGACCACCACCTCACTCCCGCCAGGACCACCACCTCACTCCCCCCAGGACCACCACCTCACTCCCCCCAGGACCACCACCTCACTCCCCCCAGGACCACCACCTCACTCCTGCCAGGACCACCACCTCACTCCCCCCAGGACCACCACCTCACTCCCGCCAGGACCACCACCACCTCACTCCCCCCAGGACCACCGCCTCACTCCCCCCCAGGACCACCACCACCTCACTCCCCCCAGGACCACCACCTCACTCCCCCCAGGACCACCACCGCCTCACTCCCCCCAGGACCACCACCACCTCACTCCCCCCAGGACCACCACCTCACCCCCCCCCAGGACCACCACCACCTCACTCCCCCCAGGACCACCGCCTCACTCCCCCCCAGGACCACCACCACCTCACTCCCCCCAGGACCACCACCTCACTCCCCCCAGGACCACCACCGCCTCACTCCCCCCAGGACCACCACCACCTCCCTCCCCCCAGGACCACCACCTCACTCCCCCCCAGGACCACCACCACCTCACTCCCCCCAGGACCACCGCCTCACTCCCCCCCAGGACCACCACCACCTCACTCCCCCCAGGACCACCACCTCACTCCCCCCAGGACCACCACCGCCTCACTCCCCCCAGGACCACCACCACCTCACTCCCCCCAGGACCACCACCGCCTCACTCCCGCCAGGACCACCACCTCACTCCCCCCCAGGACCACCACCTCACTCCCCCCAGGACCACCACCACCTCACTCCCGCCAGGACCACCACCTCACTCCCCCCCAGGACCACCACCACCTCACTCCCTCCAGTTCTGCTCCTCTGAAAACCTGAGAAATACAATGCCAAGTGCTGCTGAGGACACAGCGTGAGCAGCTGTGCAGCTGTGGGTTGGAGTAAGGAATGGTGCTGCCACTGCAGACAACAGCAGGGAGGGCTTTCAGAAAAACACAATCACTTCATGATCCAGCCATTGTAGGCATGTACTGGAAAGAGTTGAAAGCAGCAACACAACAGACCATTCACACACCCAATGTTCATCTCGAAACAGCATTATTCACAGCAGCCAAAGGGCGGAAGCAACCCAAACGCCCCCCCTAAAGAATGGATAAACTCAATGTGAACTCCACTATAATGGAACAGTATTCCGAGTGGGAAAGCAAGGACACTCCGACAGGCACGACAGCATCAGTGATTCCCGAGGGCCCCACACTGAGAGCAGTTCCATCTAACCTGGAAAGCAGGTATTGTCTCCTCTGAGTAACTGTGCCCACCCCACACGTGGGACAGGATGTGACATACAACATGCAGTTGTCCCTTGCTACCTGTGTGGCATTGTTTCCAGGACCCCTCACGTAAGATGACGATGAACTTGCAGGGAATGAATACACATCCTCCCACAAACTTCAAATTAGCTCTGTGAGTCCTTGATTCACCCAAGGCTGTGTAAAAACCATGCAGATAGCTGCTCTCCTGTTACTGAAGGAATACCCACAAGGAAGGAAAGTTGGCCTGCTGAGCACGCACACAAAAGCTCTCTTCCAATGGTTCACACCATTGGTGGGCTAAATCCAAGGATACAGAATCTGTGGACAGAGAGAGCTGACAACATTCAAAGGGGACCAAGATCAACAGAATGTCTGTAGGGCATTTTGAGAAAGTGAATTCATCTGGGGCTGGCACTATGATGTAGTGCGTTAGCCACTGCCTGACGCACCAGTATCCCATATGGGTACCAGTTTGAGTCCCAGCTGCTCCACTTCCAATCCAACTCCCTGCTGATGTACCTGGAAAAACAGCTGAGGGTGGCCCAAGTGCTTAGGCTCCTACACAGAGATGAAGCTTCTGGCTTCAGTCTGGACCAGCCCTGGCTATTGGGGTCATTTGTAGAGTGAACCAGCAGGTGAAAGATCTCTCTCTCTCTCTCCCTCTCCCTCTTCCTCTCCCTCTGTAACTACCTTTCATGCTCTGCAGCAGTGGCTGCAACACCTGAGAATGCTCCAGAATTGCCTGCAGGACTCAGGAAAACACAGGCTGCTGGCTCCACCCCCGGAGATGCTGACCCAGGAGGTCAGGGTGGGACCCATATTTTGCATCTGTAACAAGTTCCAGGACCAGGCAGACAGAGAGAGCAGCTGATGTTGGTGGCCTGGGATCCTTGCTCTGAGAACCGCTGGCCTAGAACCTCAGTGTGGATGCCATTTCAAGGGTTCTGTGATAAATACTTCACATACCCTCTCATGCTCTGTAGTTCATGCACTCACTGATGTTCATCTGATATTTGGAGCATTCTCACCACCATCATTTGGGGGTGGTCTGCATGTGTTCCCCCTCCAAAACTTCGTGTGCTGGAAGCTTGGTCCTCAGGATTGGAGATGTTAAGATGGTGGAAGCTTTAAGAGGCAGGACCTAATGGAAAGTCACTGGAGGTGCCAATCAGAAGGGATTAATGTAGTTCTCTCTGATCCCAGTTAGTTCTCCTGAAAGTGGACTGCTTATGGACTGGCACTGTGGTATAATAGATTAACCCGCCACTTACAACACTGGCATCCCACATAGGTGGTGATTCCAGTTCTGGCTGCTCCACTTCCAACCAGCCTCCTGCTAGCACACCTGGGACAGTTTTGGTCTGGCCCAGTCTTAGGTCTGATTGGCATCTGGGGAGTGAGCCAGTAGATGAAAGATCTCCCTCAGTCTGTCTCTCTCCTATCTCGATAACTCTGCCTTTCAAATAAATCAATTTTAAAATAAAACATAAACAACGGATCGTCAGCTGGTTCCCTTTCGGGTTTTCTGCCACGTTGGACACAGCCAGCCAGTGCACACCAGAATGCCATGCCACACTGGTTGCACCCCCACCCCCAGCCAACAAAATCATGAGTCAAACACAATTCTTAATAAAGTGCTTAGGCTCAGGTGATTGGGCACAGCAACACAAGCAAAGATGCCCGTTGTGCACAAGGCATTACGCCAGAGACTAGGTAAAGAAATAAGAATCGTGGAGCAAGAAAAGCACGCAAGCACAGAATTCCGTAGACTGGAATGTGCACGAACCATAAGGCATGGGCTGGACCCACATGCATACTAGAACACAAAGATGATGCAGCAAAGAAGCTGCCCACTCATCAGGGCAACAGACAGAGGGTGTGCGAGGACACGAGTCATCGGCCACTGCTTGTGGAGCACACAGCTTCAGGCCAGGCACCACCCAGGCACCAGGTAATGACAACAGGTAAAATCAAGTGAGTGCCATTGGGAACTCAACGTTCCATTGACAATGACAGGGAGTAAATAATCAACACACTAAGGCTGCCTGAAGTGCCAAGGGCACAAAGGAAAGCCAAGCACAGGAAGGACTCAAGTTGGAGGAGGGTGGTTGGGCAGGGCCTGAAGGGCGAGAGCTGAGCAGAGGTCTGGGCAGGGGAGAAACAACATCCACGTTCTTCCTCTGAAACAACCAGTGAACTTGAAGCGTATCTATCCTTATGAATTTTTTAATTGTTCTCAAAATACCCAAGACTGGGCAATTTAGAAATGAAAGTGTGGCTCATGATCCTAGCAGCAGGGCGGTCCCAGCACCTGGCGAGAGCCTCCCAACCAGCATTACAACAGGGCAGAGGGTATCATGTTGTGAGATGCAGCAAGCGTGCTAGCTGGGTCTTTTTCCCTACTTATAAAACCACAGTGCCCTAAGGTGGACTTGATCAGCCAATAGACCTAAGAAAAATTTTCTCAACCCCAGTGCAACAAAGCCAACGGTGTCTCAGAACTATCAAAAACCACTCAAGTAACACCCTTGGAACATTATTCCCCACACTGGGGTCTCTAAGGTATCATCAAATAGTCATCCATTACTGATGTAGTTTGACAGCAAGAAAAGGAGCCCATTCCTTTCCCTCCAGCAGACACAGGAACAAAAAAAAGAACTGAAACATTTGTCCTATCCACCCTTCTCTGCACCTCCCTACCGTAATTGGAGGTCCACATGGGCATGCATCCCTTTAAACTATGTAACAACTATATAACAATATTAAAAATAAATTAATTAAAAAACACAGTGCCACCAAGGAGACCCACGCTCATGATCTCATCTCATCCCAGTGACCTCCCAAAGAGCCCTGGGGGCTTACGTTTCCAACATGTGACCCTTTGGGGGCATACATTAAAACCCTAGCAGAGCTCTCCCAAGAGATGAAGATGAGGCAGAGAAATGGTGGACAGCAAATTTGCAGATGATTAGAGAGTAGATGTGGGTATAACAGATGAACAGGTGCATGGACAGATGGATGAAAGACGGATTAGTGGATGGATGATGGATGGATGGCTGCATGAATGGATGACAGATGGATGGTTGGATGGATGGATGGATGGATGATGGATGGATGATGGATGGATGATGGATGGATGATGGATGGATGGATGATGGATAGATGGGTAGATCGATGGATGATGGATGATGGATGGATGATGGATGGATGATTGATATATTTGTGAATAGATGGATGATGGATCATGGATGGATCCAGATGGATGAATGGTCAAGTAGATAAATACACTGACAACAGGAAAAATAATGAAGTCAAATCCAAATCAGTGAAGATGAACAGCGTGAGAATGTGCCATTGGTATGACCTACAAGGTTTTATTATACAGAGTAAACATTTTGAAGGGAAGCATGTACAAAAGAAAGGGACAATGGCATATGTAATTATTTGAATTTTTTAAATCCTCCAGTTTAATAGTGAGCAAGAATGGGAAGAGTTTGTTTAATGAAAGCTAGCAGTTTCATTTTGGGTTCATGAGGGTAAACCACCACTTTAGGTGCCAGCATTATATATAGTCATATACATATCAGTATTATATGTTACATCAGTATTTTATATTATACCAGTATTTTATATTTATGTAAAAGTATACATAAAATAAAAACTATATACTAGTGCATTATTTACACCACATATAATATACTGAATTAATATACACACATTGTATTCATATATATGAATGTTCAACACTATTTGGATTTCTCTGGAGGTCTTGGAACATGTGCCCCATGGATAAGGGAAACTGCTGTAATCCCTCACTGTGCCAGGTACCCAGCTAGTGTTGGCAGAGGGAAAACCAGTCCTCTTCATTTGGAACCCAAATCCCCTCTTCGGAGTTTGTAGCTGGAAGGACCCACAAAGCCAGTCCACATCTCCATCCCATGCAAAGGATGCTTCCCAGGACACCATGACCAGTGGCCATCTGGCCTCCACCAAGACATGGCCCAGGCAGCGATGTCCATCACCTCTGAGCATGTGCCCTTCTATTCTGCTGACCACACACCAATGTCTTCCTTAAACTGAACTGCAGGTGGCATCCCAGAACTGTCCTCCTCTTCCCCTATCACCCATGCATTCATCGGTTCTATTTTTCAGCAGACATCAACTGGCACTTACTTGGCATTGGGCATCCTGCCAGGAGCTCAGACACAATGGTGAGCACTCAAGACAAAGTGTCTGCCTTTAAGAGAGTATAGGCTGACTAGCCCAGCGAGCAGACCCTGAACAATACAGTTTTCACGTTCCCACAGCTCCCAGAGAAGAATGCCTCCTGCCTGGAGCCAGTTCCCAGCCTGGACCTGACCCTGATGCTCTCCACAGTGCCCAGCACCATGCTCAGTGATGCCGTCTCACACTGGCCACTTCTCAGCCTGTCTCCAGCACCATGGCAGAGCCACCTTCCTAACTCAAGCCTCCCTTTCCAGCTGCGAGTCTACAAGAAAACTTGTCTCTAGTGGGGCTGAAGCCACTACCCAAGGTACCAAGGACCCGTGACGCTCATAGCTGCTCCTGCTCCTGTTGTGAATCTGCGGCTTATCAAGGCTTGACCACCTGCTTCCTCCAGCATCTACCAGTCCCTGCCCAAAAGATGACTGGGATTCTTCTTCTACTGATAAGGAAATCAGACTCAGCCAGACCTTCCAGGGCGGCACTGTCTCCAGGATTCACCATCCTCCTTGAAACACTGAGGCTCTCGACAGCCTCCACGCACTCAACATCTGCTGTGTGCTTCCCCTGTTCTATCTTATTCATCCTGTTCCTGCTCAGTGGCCAAAAGACATCTCAAGTGGTGCAGGAGGAGCCTCTCTTGCTCCTCACTCTGGCTTCCCAGTTTGGGCAAAGACGCAATCACTCATTCGGGAATGAAGTCCCCGGTACTCAGAGGCATCCTGGAAGGAGGGAAAGACAGAAAGAAAAGGGCAAGGAAGAATGGGGGACAGAGGATGGAAGAAAAGGGGAGAAAAGGAAGAGTGGGAAGCACAGAGGGAGGAAGGGAAAAGGAGGGGAGGAGGGAGAGAGAAAGGAACCAAAGAAAAGGAGGAGATAGGGAGGGGAGGGAAAAGGAAGGAATAGAGACGAGGGAGGACAGAAGGCAGGATGAACGAGCTTCCACTGCAGGAAGGCAGAAGCAAAGTCTGTGTCAATCTGGGGTTTGCTTTATATGGCACTGCCCCTCATTGTCATCCACAGTCACAAATCCGCCAGCCTCCCTCAAAACCACCATCTTCAGAACCGGAATCAGCCACCAGGGATGCGGTGCAATCTTCCTAAAGGTGAGGTGAACCAGGAAGCCCCCGATCATCACCACCCAAGGCAGAAAGGCACATGGCTCCGGGCAGCTTTACAGAGAGCGGTTCAGTGGCTATGGGTGTATGAGTCCTTCCTGCCGGGCACAAAGACCGCAGAAGGCACCTACGCCAGAGCGTGGGGGAAGCTGTGGGGAGCAGAAGGCATGTGAGCCTATAGTTATTGGAGCACGAGGGCAAGGAGGCAGAGCCATGCTCCCAGTCCCAATTACCTGCAGATCACAGTGGAAAACGCCTGTGTCCAGACAGCCTGGTCCGACATGGCTTTCTCCACTCATCCCTCAACCCAGCTGCCTCCCTTTCACCTGCGTGGAGTCTGGGTGGCAGCAGTCCCTCGCCTGCAGGAGCCAGCAGTTCTCTTCCCAACCATTTTACTCTCTGTGCTGCAAGAACCCAACAGGTGCCTCTGTGCCCATCCTCTTGTCCTTCATTTGTTTAGCACCTTCTCTACATCCAGGCCTGAGAGGGCTCAGGGGCCACTCCCAGGGGCTGGAGGAGAGGGAAGTTGGACAGGACCAGTCACAGCCCAAGCACCCAGGGTCACACTCCTGGTGTGGGGACGGGAGATGCTTCCCCAGGGAGGTCTGGAACCCTGTCTTGGAAGGCAGAGAGCAGGTGGAGAGGGGGCTTTCCAGGAGGAGGGAACCGAATATGCTAAGGCATTGAAGTGGAAAAAAAAAATGGGGTGAGAACTGAGAGGTTTTGTGAGTATCAGGGCGCACAGGGAAAGGAGGAAATGCAGCTACGCGAGAGGCCACTGTGGCTGGATCTGCACAGCCTCGGAGCGAGGAGAGCGAGTGTGGCCTTCACGCAGGGGTCAGCAGAGCAGCAGCAGCAGCAGCGGGTTAGAGAAAAGATCTGGACAGGCATGTTATCAGGCAAGAGCCTAGAACCAGGCTGGGACAGACCAAGAGCCAAGGGGCTAAAGGTGAAGGTGCGCGCTGAGGGCAGGGCCGGGGTGCCCCCCACTCACCGCGGAGCCAGCGGGCGCCAGCTTGCGTGTCCTTGGGGCGGATGAGGCGGCGCTGAGCGGCGCTGCGGCCCATGTACCACAGCATCCAGACCAGCTGCAGCAGCATGAGCGCCGTCAGGAAGCCCAGCAGGTCGCCCTTGCCCACGCGCGACGCGTGCACGGCCCAGGCCAGCAGCAGTAGGAGCCCCGCCACGAACACGTTGAGCCCGTACTGGCTGCTCAGCGCCTCGGCCAGCTTCTGCTGGACGCCGATACGCGCCGCCGTGTGCTCCGGCACCGGGGGCTGGCCCACGCGCATCTCGGAGACACCAGCGCACCGGGTCGCCTCCTGGAAAGGTCGCACTGGAGCCTGCCCAAGCTCCGACGTCCTCTGCCAACCCTGCCGGGTCTCCTGACCGCTTTCCACGCTTGACCTCCCCTTAGGGCCGCTTGATCTTTGTTCAAGGAACCCACACAGTTTACTTCACCCCTAACCCCGCTGGGACCCGGCTTTCCCACATACGCCCCGCCGCCTCCGGCACACCTCCCTCACCCCAGAAGTTCCCAGCCCACTCTGAGATCACCCACGGACCGAGTCCGATTCCCGGTCCCCTTCCCGACCCGCGCTTCTTCCTGCGCCTCGCTCCCGGGCGCCCGGAAACGCTGGGAGGCTAGAAGTGGGCCAGCAGGCTGGGGCAGGGAGTCTAGGGGTTCGCCTGCTGCGGCCCGAGGGGCTGCGCGGGAGGCGTGGCCGCGGCGGAGTCGGGACCGGCAGGTCGGCAGTGCTCCCACGTACTGTCCCTGGGGGCCCAGACACCTCGGGGATCTGGCTGAGCCTGCGTGTGGCGATGCGCGTCCGCGTCCGTAGGTCGGTGTGCTGCGCGCTGCCCCCTCTGTGTTCCTGGGATCGGGTTTCTCTGTGCGTTCTTTCCAGGTTGTATCTGGGTGTGTCTGGTTAGAGGTTGAGGCACCCATCCCTCCGAACTGCTGGGGACCCGCTGCTGGACAGAAATGAACTGGATCCCACCAGCAGTGTCCGGGACCCATGCGCTTCCTCCTGTCCCTGCACCCTGGTGCCCGCCCGCCTGGTCTTGCGTCCCCAGGGACACACTATTCCAACGCTGCTAAGAAGGGCCCAGGGCATTTCTCCAAACTCCCTGTAAGGTCTGGCACTAGCAGAGGGGCCCGGATACCAACTGCCTAGGGCAGGGAGAACCTGGAGCGTGGGAACCCCGCAGAGGGTAAGGGCAGACCTGGTGCACAGTCCCTCCTGGCAACAGTGTCCAGCCATCCCTTGGAGACCTCATTCCCTCTCAGTCGCGGACCTGCGGACTGGTCTTGCACTTGGCCCAGCGATGGCCAGGGGCAGTGCTGGTTGCTGAAAGTTGGGAAAGGGGCGTGAGCTCTGGACTCCAAAGGAATCAACGTGGGGACTGTGCACACTGAGTTGTTGCCCGGCTCTGCTGTGGGCACGGAGAATCTGCGGTGTAAGATTACATGCTGGTAGAGCTGAGGTGAACACATTGAGTAGACAGGGACCGTGTGAGCGCTGGCAGAAGACTGGAGTGCAAGAATCTGAGAGCTGGAACCCAGAGAGGAGGGGAGGGCTTGAGGAGCAATGCTCCCATCCTGCCCCACAGCTTTACAGAAGCTGGATGGGAGGAAGGCAAGATGGGAGGAAGAGCTCAGAGACCGCCTCGAAAGAGCAGTCATGCAGCTGCACTGATGCCCCAATCTCCAGGGCCCCGAAGCTCAGCTGATTGGCACGCGTGGCCAGGAGGCTGTGCTCCCCTCCCTCGGTGAGGCTGTAAGGCTGATAGTCACCCACCTTCCCTTCTGTGCCCTGTCCCCTCGCCTGGCTGTGATTTCCTTCTTACAGACATGTCCCGACCCCCACAGCAACCCAAGGCTCTGTGAGGACTGTGTCTTCTCCCACGCTGAATTTCCAGCTTTCAGAACAGCGGTGTCTCACCGTACTAAGTATTCAGTTGCCTTATTTCTCACAATCACATAACTATTTTTTTAAACTTTCCAATTATGATTTTCCTGAGGACTGAACTCTTGTAACCCACCAGTGTTAACAGGAGGGAGCACAGAGCTCCAGCTCAGGTGGAAGAATGTCTGAAACCTTCGGACCTTCAGCGTTTACTGGGTTAAGTCACCACCTACAATGCCAGCATCCCATACGGGAACTAAGTTTGGGTCTTGGCAACTCCACTTCTATTCAGCTTTCTACTACTGTGCCTAGGAAAGTACTGAAGGATGTTCCAAGTGCTTAGTCCTCCTGCCACTAACACAGGAGACCCAAATGAAGCTCTTGACACTTGAGTTTTGTTTGGCACAACCCTGGCCACTGTGGCCACTTAATATATCTCTGTAACTCTTCCAAATAAATAAATCTTTAAAAGTAAATAAATAAAACACATGAGCACAGCAGATCCTGTGCCAAACAAGCTCAGACTTGGAAGACTTCCATGTGGCTGAATCCATTCACAGCACCTCCCTCCCCAGTCCCTGTCCTTCCCTTCCCACTTCCCTTGGTTCCCACCAACACAGTGTTGCTAAGTGGGTAGGTGGCCTTTTAACATGTAGGCTGTGGGAGAATCAAGATGGTGGAATAGGGTATGGACACGTTTAAATGGATGGAAAAACATTTAACCAGGATGAAGCAGAGAAGACATATTTGAGGAAATAGGAGAGGACAGAACAACAGCAGAGGGGCACCTGGAGACTGACGGACACGGAAAAGCAGCGGGCACAGCCGTGTGGTGTTGCTGTGACTGATACTGCAGCAGCATTCAGCTAAGGTCAATCTGAACTCCACCAGCAACCAGGTGGAAAGGGACTTACACTGGGAGCTTGGGAGGTAAAGCCAGACAAAGAACTGTCCGTCCTGCTGGTCCATTTGATTTGACCAGGAGCAGAGACAGAGCAGCAGATCCCTGACAGGCAGTGCAAGAACAGTGTGGATTTCACAGCCCAGTCAGCCCCCTAGAGCCAAACTAGGCGCCATTTTGCATGAAGAGGCAAGGGCAAGAGAAAGGACTGAGCATGTGCTAAGCTGGGAGTGAGCTCATTTCTGACTCAGTGAACTGTATCAACGTGGCATTCTACAGGTTCCACCCACGACAGGTCTGGGTAGCCCTCAGACCTGATGGCCAGCAGATCAATAATTCTAGCAGTGGTACGTCAGGCGCCATTTTGTACACTGTGGCAATAGCTTTGGGACTGCAGGGATAACAGTGAACTGGGCATGTGCTGATCTCGCAAGGACTCACTGAGCTCAGCGAATTGCACGGGAAAATAATGCCTACTGTGGCATCGTACTGGTCAAAATAGGTCCGTGCGGCACCAAGACCTAATGGCCAACAGGTTCTGACAAGATCAGCGCCACCAACAACCTAACTAGATAGGACACCTAGTATCTCTCTAATCCTGGGACCTGCTCCAACCAGAAGAGGGAGAAAGGCCGCAGAGACAACAGTGCAGCCTCAGCACGGTATCACAGGGTGTGGAGAGTGGTGAGCCAGGAGCTGGAGCTGTGGAGACCACGGTGGAAATCTAACATAAGAACCCAGACCTGGAACTCGCTGGAGGTTGTGGCACAAGTGGCTGCAAGCAAAAAGTTGTGTACCAGCTGCAATAAGTAAAATCGCATTGTAGACCTGTGGGTTACACAGCTTAGAAACCTGCCCCAAGGAGAAAACTTTGCTAACCAGAAGTGCAATGACCAAAAGAGACAAAGGCACAATGAATATTACTGAAAACTCCCCTGCCAAGGAGCAAAACCCTATGCCAATCTCAGAGTTAACTGAGGAAGACATCGAGAAAATGGGGCATACAGAATTCATAAGACTCATTTTAAAGCTTCTGATCAAAAATGAGAAACACAAGAGTTCAAAGAATTTAAGGAAGCAATAAAGCAAATCAAGGCTGGCATATCAGAAATTAAGAACACAGTAGAGCAAATTAAAAGTACAATGGAGAGTCTCCAAGATAGAATGAAGCAAGCAGAAAAAAGAATCTCAGAATTGGAAGATATTTCTTGTCATAAGGGGGAAACAAACAAAAAGCTGGAAGCAGAGCTGGATCAGGCCAAAAAAAGTATTCAAGAATTGAAAGGCACTATTAAGAGGCCAAATATAAGAATTATGGGAGTCCCAGAAGGTGCAGAAAGAGAAGCTGAGTTTGCAAATGTATTTAATGAAATAATCAAGGAAAATTTCCCTAATCTGAAGAAAGAATTGGGAAACAAGATCCAGGAGAGACACAGAACTCCCAACAGGCTTGATCAAAAGAGATCTTCACCAAGACACATGGTCATCAAGCTCCCTTCAATTGAACAAAAGGAAAAGATCCTTAAATGTGCACTTGAAAAAAATCAATTGACATATAAAGGAATGCCAATTAAACTCACAGGAGATCTCTCACAGGAAACTCTACAGGCAAGAAGAGAATGGCGTGACATATTCCAGATTCTAAAGACAAAAAACTGTCAGCCCAGGATAATGTACCCTTCAAAACTTTCCTTTGAAAAGGAAATAAAATTCTTCCACAGTAAAGAAAAGTTAAAAGAATTTGCCTCTTTCAAACCTGCCCTACAAATGATACTTCAAGATGTTCTCCTGACAAAGAGGAATAGCACAAAACAAAACCAAAGGCAAATGGGAAGAACATCCTAGTAAAGTGACAACAGAAGACTAAACCAATGAACAACCCATTCCTAAAATGACAGGACCAAAGTACCATCCATACATGTTAAACTCTGAATGTCAATGGCTTAAGCTCAATCAAATGTTATAGATTAATAAACTGGATTAAAAAACAAAGCATCTATTTATTGCCTAGAAGAGACACACTTCATCCACAAAAATCAGCGGAAACTGTATTGCATGGATTTTGTTTTCTGTTAGTTTCATCTCTTCAAAACTCTCTTCTGATTAAATCATTCAGTGACTCCTAGATCATATAGCAGCATCATTTTCTTCATGAAGGTTCTTGATTTTCATCTCTTCAGCTACACGTTAGACATTTTGTAGCATGTTATTTAACTTCATGGTGTGGTTAATTTCTTTTTTCTACCTGATGTTGGTTTTCTTTTGTGGCTTTTCATTTAAGGGGATGTATAGTAGCTGTGTAATGGAGACTGTCATATCTAGTAACATACCATTTGACTTCATGGCATTGTAAATTTCTATTTTTCTCTTTATTGTTGATTTTGTATTATGACTTTTCATTTAAGAAGATGTACACTAGCTGTGAAATGGAGACTAACATCCAGATGTGAGGATACAATGTAGTTTGCATTTCTACTTCCAGACAAAGATGGACTTGCAATGAAACTGTGTGCTATATCTTGACAATAGGATTCTGGACTCTCTGTCATTGTCCATGCCCGCAATGATGGACATATGACTGTGTATGAAGAACTATATTTTAGTAATGATATAGAGGAACTAGGTGGGGGGGGGAGGGAATTGGGGAGGGGATAAGGGAAATGCCAGGAGTCTATGGAACTGTATCATAAAATGATAATAATAATAAAAAATGCTAAAAAAATAATAAAAGCATAGTTGTTTCTGACAAAAAAAAAAAAACATGTAGGCAGTGATGCTGGTGCCTTCCACGCTGGGCCAGTGCCATCCTGTCAGGCAGAAACACCTTCCAAGTCCCACAGCTGCTGCTTCTCAGTCATACACACGCCCATGAGACCACAGGAATAGAGACAATGCCGCAGGAGCTGGTCTCAAAGGCCGATGGAGGGCCTGACGAGGCAACCTAGTGGCTAAAGTCCTCACCTTGCTTGTGCCGGGACCCCATATGCATGCAGGCCCTGCTTCCCATCCAGCTTCCTGCCTGTGGCCTGGAGAAAGCAACGGAGGACTGCCCAAGGGGATCCCAGCAGCCATGTGGAAGAGCCAGAGCTCTAGGCACCTGGCTTTGGCTCGGCACAGTGCCAGTCCAGACAGCCATTGGTGAAGCAGTAGATGGGAGACCTCTTTCTGCCTTTTCTTTCCTATGTAACGTTCAAATAAATAACCCTTAAAAGAAGCAGATACTGAGTGGCTGCACGGGCAGTAGGCTCACCAGGAGTAGGGATATTAGACAAACATAAAGCATGTAGGGACTGTCACGGGGACCCAAGCTGACTGAATCAGATCTAGTTTGCACCCTCATGCTTGTTGTGTTCCCTATTTAAGTAAAACTACACCATATGTGCACACATTTGAGCTTGCTGGTTTGCTGGATACAGCTGACTTCCCTATGTGAACAGAATTCCCTGTGATACTAGACTCTGCTTTCTCTACACTGAGTGCCCACTGTGTGCTGGGCACCGTTACGTGGTGCCCTATAATGTTACTATCATGTACGAGCTCAAAGATTATTCCCGTTCCACAGCTGGAAAGGACTCAGGACCACCCAGGGCCTCACAGTAAGTGGTGGCGTATGACTGAGCCAGACAGCAAGGGACCAGGGCACTGGACTGGGGCAACTATCAGCCTGAGCTTGCCCGTGTCCTGATGCTCAGATCCTCGGGCTTCGGGGAAACGCTGAGAGGCCAGACCTCTGAGGGGAGGCCCCTGTTATTCTGTATCTAGTTACAGATTTCCTGCAAGGTGGAGCATCAGGAAGAAAAGGAGCCCCGGAGTTACCTGCACAATAGCCAGAGCTGGGCCAGGCTGCAGCCAGGAGCCTGGCACCACAGGTGGGTATCCCACCGGCTGGCAGGGCCCCCAGCATGGCCGCCTTCTGCTGCATCCCCATGCGCACTGGCAGGGAGGAGGACGGCAGCTGATATTTCTATAGTTAGCCCAAGTGCTCAAAGTTTCAAATAGAAGCAATTTCAAGCATGGAATGAACAAAGCACACAAGAAAATAATAACAATGCTTTTATTTAAACACCACAGAAAAAAAAATATACACTCAGAAATGATAAACAGTTCATATATTAGAAAGTGCTAAAAATTCACCTATTTACACAATGGTAAAACCTGATAAATCAAGTGAAAACAGAATATGAGGTACTTCAAAAATTCTGTACAAAAATTAAATTAAAACATAAGTATTTTCATGCAAAAAAATTCAAAATCATGCATAGTTTTGTTAAGGATTTATTTTTATTGCCTGCAGACAGAGAGAGAGAAGAAGATACAGACAGAAAGGTTCTTTGTCTGCTGGTTAACTCCCTAAGTGATTGCACTGGTCGGAGTACAGTCAGGTGCCAGGAACCTTCTCCGGGTCTCCCACATGGGTGCAGGGTCCCAAGGCTTTGGGCCGTCCTCGACTGCTCTCCCAGGTCACAAGCAGGGAGCTGGATGGGAAGTGGGGCTGCTAGGACATGAACTGGTGCCCACATACGATTCTGGCGCACAAAAGTGAGTATTAGCCACTAAGCTATCCCACTGGCCCCAAAATCATGTTTGTTACAATACGTATTTCCACTAACTCTTCGAAGATTCCTCATACTTTTATTTTGATCCCCTCACCTATGGACAGCTTTATAAAAACAAGACATACAGTAATCAGTAAAGTGAAAGTTAAAGGCACATGGTGACATAAATCCTTCATATATGCACACATCTGGTCCCTTCAAAAGATGAACTGCCATCCTGTAAGTGAAGAGGGAACAATTACTGAGATGCTGGGAGTGCATCAAATGCCTGGGGAGAGGCTCCTGAACATGCTAACAGGTGAACACCATCCAATAACACCATCCAACATCTCTGTATCTAACAATGATTTCTGAGACATTCAATAAATCACTTGAATTTAAGAATATTCAAATAAAACACCATTTATTCTATTTCAACACTGCATTTACAAAGTCACAGTTCTTCCAAGAAAACCTCTCCGCAGATGCAGAAGTCCCTGTGGCTTTCCCCTCCTTGTCTGCAAGGCCTGCTTTCAGCATGTTGTGTGCAGCCTTGCCCACTGGAGTTGGCCCGTCCTCACAGCTGCAAGAAAACCAGTATTTATGTTCCCAAACAGCCTCCCTTTAGGTAGATTCTACCGCGCCAGGCCCGGTGGGCCACAGCCCAAAATGGCAGCTGGCTCTCGGTTCCAAGTCACCAAGCCAGGGCGGTACGAGGCAAAGCTCCCAAACGCAGTGTGCAGACAAACTCAAAACTGCAAAGCCACAGAGGAGCTGCTGAGCAGGGCGGGCCGGGAGACAGGCCACCAGAGGGTACATTCTGAGCCAGGTGCGGACTGCCACTTGTGGCGACCCACCACATCGTGAAGTGCCCACTGAGCCCCTGGACGCTAGACATGTCAACACGGTCCCCATGTGCCATTTTCTCTGTTGTGACAATGGTGCCACAGGTAGAACATGTTGACTGCCAGCAGAAACCTTGGCTTGCTGTGGTACCCTCGGGCCTCAGTTTCCCTTCTGTCAAGTCTTCCCGTTTGTGACATGTGGGCTGGGCCTGCTTCATCGTCTGCATCACAGCCTGAAGCATGGATGGCATGGACACCACACACACTCACTGCACACACGAGTTCTCTGATGCTCAAGAAATGAACCCCGCTGTGCAAGGCCGTGGGCCAGGGGAATCTGGGGAGGCAGGAATTCGCTCAATCGCAAGGAAGACAAGGGCTGATTCGGCAGCATCTGGCTTTATGGGGCAGCCAGGACACGCAGGAAAGGAAAAGATTCCCTCCCCTGGCCCCTTCCCCCAACCCCACTCCTCAGGAACTGTCACTGCTCTCTGTGACACACTGCCAGCAGCTGCCTTGGATCTGCAGAGGCCTAATGCATGGGCTCGTCTAAGTTCGAGTGACCTCTGGCCAGCCATGTGCCTCCTGCAGGTGGCCATTGCTCCAAGCTCACTCCAACCCAGGGGCAGCGGCTCAGTCCTTTGTACCTGAGTCAGCTCTGTCGTCACCGTGAGTGATGGTCCCTCACGAGTGGCCTGCTGCTGCTGTGCCCAGTGGACACCGCCAGGAAAAGTAAGCTTACGGTGAGTTCACTATTAGAAATGACACTCCAGAGCACTCACCTTTCGAAATCATCCGAGGAGGGAGATAAACATTATAACCCCCATGAACTGGGTAAATAACAACAGTGGTGTTAAAAACGACCACACAGGCCACAAAGCAACGTTGAAGCTGAAAAATAGACAACCAGAAAAAAGGTGATGTTTTAACTGACATGCATACAAATCTAGTTTATTCTAGAATCTAGATTAAAGAATTCAACTTGGGAATGTTCAGCCAGCCAGGGGCTTCCCATGTATCACTAATTCCCAAACATGTGATTTAGCCAACATTGGAAAATGCTTTACATACTTATGGAACTGTCACACTTCAGTCCGAAATCCCCACGTGGGACTCCCCATATGGGCCACGTGGCTCGAGTCCCGGCTCTGCCCCAACCCCAGCTGCCTATGAGTGCAACCCCGGGAGGCAGCGGTGACGACCTGAGGCCTCGGGGCCCTGGCATCCACAAGGGAGACCTGGATGGCATTCAGCCGCGCCCTGGCTGCTGTAGACACAGGATCTCTCTCCCTCTCTCTTTCATATAAAATGAAAACAAATAAAAATTTGTAATTAAAACAACTCCAAAGGTAATAATGTAGTTTGCAATTAAATTTTCCTTAGGAAAAAACACACTATTCTTGTCACTGAGATAAGACAAAAACACCAGGAAAAATAATATAATAATAATAATAAATAACTTTGAGTATAAATGACTTTTTTTAAAGATTTATTTATTTATTGGAAAGTCAGATATACAGAGAGGAGGAGAGACAGAGAGGAGGAGAGACAGAGAGGAAGATCTTCCATCCAATAGTTCACTCCCCAAGTGAGCGCAACGGCTGATGCTATGCTGATCCAAAGCCAGGAGCCAGGAACTTCTTCCGGGTATCCCACATGGGTGCAGGGTCCCAAAGCTTTGGGCCATCCTCAACTGCTTTCCCAGGCCACGAGCAGGGAGCTGGATGGGAAGTAGAGCTGCCAGGATTAGAACCAGTGCCGATATGGAATCCTGGTGCGTTCAAGGCGAGGACTTAAGCTGCTAGGCACGCCGCCAGGCCCCATAAATGACTTTTAATGACTAAATTTCCAACAGCTGAAGTGAACAGGGTAGGACAGTCACTTAAGTAAGTTTTTCACAAGGTAATTACTTTTGTCATATAATGTTTTGATAAGTATGGATTTTAAGTAACTATAATCCCACTGAACTAAAAACAAAAATCAGCATTTCTGGAGATGATCTCAGACTTAATAGCACATCAGCATGCCCGCATCCCAAAGGGCTGATACCCACACTACAGAATGTCAAATGTTCTTAAACTTCAACCACAGAGGTCAGTCACAAGCACACAGAGTAAAGGTGTATGGGTTTTCTTTCTCCGGCAGGTTCCCTCCCCAGACAGCCACAACAGCCAAGAGCCCAGATAGCCATCCAGTTCTCCAGAGCAGGCGGCAGGGGCCCAAGCCCTCAGATCAGTCTCCACTGCTTTCACAAGCACATTAGTAGCTGTTGGGCAAGAAGCAGAGAAGCTGGTCTCAAAGCAGTGCCCACATGGGATATTGGCATCACAGGTGGAACTAACACACTATGCCACAGTGCTGGCCCTAGGTTTATCATTTTAGCCAAATAAAAACTTGGTTAATATTAACAAAGAAAAGACTAACAAGTTATAGACAATGTTACCAGTATTTTCTCTGGTTGGCATGATCATGGGATGGGTTTCCTTTATGCTTTCTGCAACTCACCCTGTTTCATACACTGAGTACCTATCAACGTTTTTAGAACAACTGTGTGTTGAGAATAAAATCACTCTACGTCCAAAAACAGGGACCTGGATAAACAGATCACAGGGTGACCATGCTGTGAAAGCTCAACAACTGTCTACAAATAAGAAACATCCACATAGACCATTACAAAAGACTTCCAAGCTACATGGGTCCATGGAAAAGGGACAAGCAAGTACAATCCCTTTGGAAAAGAGCTCGATGTCATTTCCTGGGACTGGAGGGTGTGTATGCCCCATGCCTAGCCACTCCCCTCTAGGAGGACGGCTGGACACACCTGGACACACCCCACAGAGCTATGCAGGCAGGCAGCAAGAAAAAGGAACCTGTCTGCAGATGCCCTGAACAGCATCTTTCGCAACTCCGCACTGGAGAACTGGAATGTTACAACAATGGGACAGACAAGGTGGAATTCAGTCAGACGACAGAATGTCAACCAGCGACAAACATGAAAAGCAATTGTGTACACCACTGGATGGATCTGGATCTAATGCTGCACACAACCCACCTCTACAATGCTCATACAAAGCTATAGGAGCAACACAGGGGTGCAGCTAGCTAATCCTCCACCTGCAGCATCGATAGCCCACATGAGTCCCAGTTCGAGTCCTGGCTGTTCCACATACAATCCAGCTCCCTGCTTACAGCCTGGGAAAGCAGTGAAGGATGGCCCAAGTTCTTGTGTCCCTGTATCCACGTGGGAGACCCAGAAGAAGTTCCCAGATCCTGGTTTCAGATTGGCTCGGCTCAGCTCTAGCTATTGCAGCCATTCAAGGAATGAACCAGCGGATGGAAGATCTCTCTCTCTGTCCCTCTCTGTCTCTTCCTCTCTCTATAAAACTGCCTTTCAAATAGAAGTAAACAAATCCATTTAAAAAAAAAGAATAAGACAAAGTGCTAACCACAAATGCCCGAGCAGTACACCCCGGGCAGGAAGGAGGCCACAAGGACACGGAGGGCACAGGGGGCACAGGGCTCCCTTGGCTCCCCACTCAGGGGTGGTTTATACCAATGTTCACTTGGGGATCATTCAATCAGTTGTACATTTCAGCTTTGTCAACTTTTCTGCATTGCACAAAACAATCAAAACCATTTGCACATCAAGATGTGGCCCCTGTACAAAATGTTGCCATCGGTGCTGTGCATGCAACTTGGCACAGGCAGAGGAGACGAGGAAGAGAGTGACTCCTGTGTCACACCTTTCATTCGGTTTGAATTTTTGATCATGTACACAATTATTTCATGATTTTTTTTTCAAAGTCCTTATTTTCCATTCCTGTTAGTCACTTCAGAGTTAACTTACCAGATTCCTGCTGCGATGAAAGAGGCAGTTGTAGCAGGAACCAGCGCTGGGTACTTCATGTCATATTCTCCAATGCCACGGTACCACTCCAGATAAACTATGCAGTAAAACGCAATCGAAAAACTGACCAGCAGCAAGGCACCACCAGACAGAAACCAACTGCATGGACAGAAATAATACACACAGGTGGACACAGCACTCAGCCAATCAGCAGGCTTCTTACAAAACAGCACCAGCAGCCTAGAACACTCTAAGAATACCAACTGGAGAAGGCCGCAGAGGGACTCAGAATGCCTCAGCCGCAGCATTCACAAAATCGCAATCTGAGAAATGGGGTGAGAAAAGACAAGACTCATGAAATGATTAAAAATGTCCTGACCATGTGCACACACTCACACCACCCTAAACTAACATCACGTGGGAATTCTGGTGAGAGCAACGTGTTGGCTTTGAAAACACGAGAGCCAGCAGCTTCCTGGCTACTTCTGAAGTTGTGAGATCAAGCTTGAAGATTCTCAACAGGGACCCCCTTGGTTAAGCAGAGCGCCTCGAAACGCTGAAGAAGGACTCCGAAGGCAGTTCATCCAAACACTTGCTAGATTTCTAAGCAAAACCCTCTGCTTTAGCGGCTATTTCCTGCCACCCTCCAATTCCACCCAGACCCTGTCTCAGTGTGGGAGGCAACCCTGGCAGCCACTAATTCCAACCCCAGCCAGTCAGAACAGAGGCAGACATTCCCCCATCATCCCTCTGGGGAGATCCTGCAGGAGACAGAGGGAGGGCTGCTGGCACAGCAGCTGAGTTGCCTGGATGCTCAGTGGGGTTCCAACAACCGCAGGGTTCTAGCTTCCACCATGGCCTTTTCCAGTGAAGCAGTGCCAGGAATGACAGGTCTTGAGGCGGTCTGGTGGGGCAGTTAAGAGCCCCGCCTCTGAAATCAGCCTGTCTGGATTTAAGTTCCACCCCAAAGCCACCCTGAGAGAGCAGATCACTTAACCCAGGTGCTCCAACAGTGCCGATGGTGCATAACTCCCAGGGCAGCCCGAGAACTCCGGGAAGTGCTTGAGGCACAGCCTACCTCATAAGGCATTCTAAAACTGTTCTGCACTTCAACTGTTGACATATGCCTTGTTAGAGTTATAAGCCAGTTTAGACTATCCCAAAATCTGCCAAGTTCAGCAAAATTAAGCTTCAACACTATAAACTGCTGAATGCTAAAATGAAAATAGTCACGAGACAGCTGAATGGTACCCTATAACCACTTTAACGTGTATAGCAGCCGGTTCTGTATATAAACTGAAATTGAAATGTCAATGAAATAGTCACAGGATGTGGTTAAGAACTTGCATTTTTTAACATTTGTTACTTAATACCATGTCAATTAATTCCATAATGTTGTAAACTGATGTTGATGTTATGTTGTGGCTTTTAATTGATCGGGATGATATTCTGCCAGCTCTGCTTTCAGACCAGAGATGGTCTCCCCAAGAAACCATTGAATTTATCTGGACAATAAGATGCTGGACTCTATGCTTGCAATGAAAGAATCTTGACTGAATTTGAACTGTAATACTGCAACAAGGTGGAGGAATCCACTATGGGGAGAGGGTATGGGGAGGGGTTGGGGGAATCCCAGAGCCTATGAGACAGTGTAACATAATGCAATGTAATCAATAAAAAATAATATAACAACAACAAAAAATACATGGCACAGTATCTGACAGCAGCAGCTAACACACAGTGCTGGCCCCCGTTACGTCCGCGACCTGGCTCCACCCAACACAGAACATGGTCCTGGGCGCTCCGCAAACATGAGAGGTGTGATCATTCTGCTTCCCAACTGTTGGAAGTTAAATTGCTCAGAATACCTAATCCTGGGGTGGGCAGCTAGGACAGTAGCCGGGATATCCACAGCCCAGATGAGGAGTGCGTGTAATACAGTTCTGGCTCTAACGCCCAGTGGGCAACAGGCAATGGCGCAACGGCTGGCTGGGTCTCCACCCCCACTAGGAGATCAGAATTGCTATCCAGTCTCCCAGCCTCAGCCTCTCCCAGCTCCAACTACTGCAGGCACTAGAGGGATGAACCAGCAGATGGATGATCCATCTCTCTACCTTTCAAATAAAATGAACATGAAGAATATCTACCACAAGGACACAGAAAAATCGTCCCATGACTCCTACAGTCCACAACGGCCGAAGCCCCACTATCTGACTATGTTCTGGGCATATGCTTCTGGCGCCCAGGGCACCAGACCCTGTCTACTGTGGGCTAGAACCAGCAACTGGAGGGTCCACTCATCTCCAGCACCCACAGCCACGCCCACACTGGGACCCTGAGCAAACCAGCCCTCTGGAAGCCAGCTCGGCCGCTCCCCAACAGCTCTCCCTTGTCTCAGGATATGAGACCTAAACAGATTCCAGGGCACTGTGAGGGAGCTCAGGATACAATTCACCAGATCCTTCTCCACTCAGTCCCCAAGATTGCTGTAAAGGGCTCTGGGTCCTCAGTCTAACAAGGCACTGCTGACCCCAGGCCCACCCCAGGGATTCCAATCTCTTCCATCCACTCCCATTTAGCCGCACCCTGCTGAAGCAGCCAGCTCTGGCTGCTCTCAGAAACTCTGGGAGCTCTCTTCAGCAGTCAGCCCCCAGCTCCCAGCCCCTCCCAGTGTCCTCAGCAGTCAGCCCCCAGCCCCTCCCAGCTGTCCCCAGCCCCCAGCCCCTCCCAGCTGACCTGGACTATCACCAGAGACCCACAGTCAGTCTTTCTCCATTTGTCATCAGTGCTGAGAAAACACACTGATTTCCACTCTCACCCACTGTCTGTGCCACCCTAAGCACATGCCCAATTTTTCGTCTGCTTTTGTCCAGCTTCGAAGAGCCACTGACAAAACTGAACCTACGCATGGTGTACGATGTGAAGACTTGACGTGTGCATACGTACGACCATCATTCCCCAGAGTCAGCACCGTGTGTGTGTTGCTCAGGACACGTGAACACCCTCTCTTAGCCAATGTCAAGCATTCACTACCTTACTGTTAACAAGACACCTTGCAAAGCTGCTTGGCGTGTAATGGACAACACGCGCCCTTCAGTCACGCTCTTGCTCCTCAGGTACCCCAGCACCTCCAGCATGATGCCTTGGCACAGAGCAGGTCCAAGCAGGTGAAGAACCCGCTGGACAAAGGAGACACGACAAAGACGACGGGGACATTGCTCTGAGAGTTCACTTACCTATTGGTGTATAAGTTCTCTTTGAGGGTCTTGAAGAAATCAGCATAGTAGGTGACCCCAATGGAAGCCAGGATCCAGAATCCACAGTGGATGTTGAATCTCGGGAGAGGCTTCTCCTTTCTCTCGGGCACAGTGACAAATCCTGCAAACACGGGAGATTCCGAGCTAAGGCATCAGAACTTCCAGGTGGAGAGTAGACTCAGTTTAAGCCAAATAACTTCCTAAGCACTTTCTAAGTACTCTTTGACAGCACCCAATCCCTCTTTTAAACCATTACAATGGGCTTATTTATGCAGGAAAAAGTAACAAGTGCCCGCTTTAAAGCATCTCCAAGGCCCAGCAGGCCCGGCCTAGCGGCTAAAGTCCTCGCCTTGAATATGCTGGGGTCCCATATGTTCTAATCCTGGAAGCCCTGCTTCCCATCCAGCTCCCTGCCTGTGGCCTGGGAAAGCAGTCAAGGACAGCCCAAGGTTTTGAGACTCTGCACCCACGTGGGCGACCTGGAATTGCTCCTAGCTCCTGGCTCCCGGTTTTGGATCGGCTCAGCTCCACCCGATGTGGTCACTTTGGGAGTGAATCATTGGACAGAGGATCTTTCTCTCTGTCTCTCCTCCTCTCTGTATATCTCTGACTTTGCAATAAAAATGTAAATAAATCTTTTTTAAAAAGAAGTATCTCCAATATAGATAATGTCTACATTTTCACAATCTTGGGGAAGCTTGAGGAAAGCCTCTCAACAATGTAGAAAATTTAAATCAGTTTCATGTTTCCTTTAGGAAAGCAACACCAGCAAAACCAGCAAAGAAGTATGGGGACAGGAACCTGCCTGCAGGTCTCACCTCAAACACACACAGCCTCCTGAGGCGTCTCACGAACCACAAGGGGACAGTAAGAAGAGGCTGCTCTCCTGGGGCTGAGCCAAACAGGACTAGCCCCAAGTCCCCCAGGTGACCCACGCGGGAGCCACGGTGCACACCCAAGGGTCTGAGCCTTTGGCTGACCATGCGGATCCCTGGACAGCACGTTCACCACACAGATCCTGGACCATGTGCTCGGGGAGCAGGGAGACCCGGTTTACAAAACACACAGCAGAAAAGGGTCCGAAACGAAATCTGCCGAAATCTCCACCATCAACCTTGGTGAGGTCCTTCACACTCTATGCACCTGCAGGTGACCCCAGGCTGCCGGCACATCTACATCAGTGGGTACTGCACGTCTTCCCGCTTAGCAGGTGTAGACACGAACCTTTAACCTCACTGTCGACAGGAAATTAGACAGTTCCAACCGTCTGCCATGAAAAGAAATCTGGGACCAAAACACTTGGCACCCCCGAGGTGACTCAAGGCTTTGGTGAAAGCCTTCCAAAAGAAGCGGTCAATTTAATTTAAAAAGGGGGGACGGGGGGAAGACATTTTTAATAGCACTAGAACAACTCTCCCGCAAACTCCTGCAGACGTGAAGGACCAGCAGCCTCGCCGCCGGGAACCCTGCAGCGCCCGGGGACAGCGCCTCACCCGGCTTGGCGTCGCCCTCGCCGCTCAGCGGGACCGCGGGGTTCAAGCGCAGCAGGCTACGCCGCTGCCGCAGTTCCTCCCGGGTCCTCTGGGCCCTCTGGGCGTCCATCTTGGAGCTACCCGGCAACGCGACGGAAGTGACGTCCTCACAGTACTTCCGGGATCGGGCGGGGGCGGGCTTCGCGAATGAGGAGACCGTGAGCTGTCGTGGGCGCTGAGGTCACGTCCACGAGCGTGAGGTGGACTTTGGGAGGCGACTGTTCTTCCCTGAGCCTTAGAGCGCTCCGACCTACGGGAGCTCGCGGGAACCGAGATGCCCGTTGTCCTGGGACGTGTCGCCCGCTCGCGGCGCGCGCCCGGGCAGCCCGTGGTCAAGGCTCGCGCCTCCCGCTCGGCGTGGAGGTCAACCCCGGCTCGTCGCCCGCTCCCGCTTCTCTCAGGAGTCGTCCAGCTAGACTTGAAACGGTCGAAGGCAGCCCCAGGAGCAAGGGGGTGGCCTCTGACCACTTTTGAGGGGCGGGGAAAGGCACTTGCTGCAGGGCCTGCCGCGGGGGGGAGGGGGGGGGTATTCCTGTCGGTTTTTCTCAAACGATAAATTAGTAGAAAAATTATGTATATCTGCAATTAAGGGGCCACAGTACGCACACTGAAGAATTTACTGAATATACCCCAACAAAGAAGATATGGTCATTAAATACTAGCATATTCAAACTGAGTTTCGCTCTGCTGCCCAGCCAGCGCTTCCTGGAGCACCTGGAGCACCTGCCGCATGCTAGGGATGGCAGGTGGGAGGATGGAGAGGGAGGACTTGGACCTGAGCCACTGCTCCCAAGATGACCGCAGGCTAGTGCAGTGAGTGTTTACCCGTGTCCAGCAGAGCCTCCTCACCCTGGCGACCCCATGTGAACAGCCACGGGGCTAGGCTGCTGGAGGAGCCAACTGCTGTAGGGTATGTGGGGTTACAGAGGCACCCAGTGAAGTCTGCCACCAATGTGTGTGTGAGAGAGAGCAAGGAAAGTGTTTTGAGGTAGATGGAATCCCTGGATGGACAGCTATCCACAAAGTGGAATGTGGATTGGCTAGCAGACAGCTCTCCAATATCTTGTGTGTGTGGAGGGCATTTGTAAAGGGACAGTAGGAAGGAATATCCAAGCAGAGTGTCCACTCCCTGCGTGTCCGTGTCTGCCATTCCTTTCCTTTGCAGCCTAGCACTCAACAGCGAGGCAGATCGTATGGCCTTTCTCAACAATCCCTCCTTTCCCCTGGTCCTGTTTCTTTTCTTTTTCTTTGGAGACTGCTAAAGAACTGGCATTCATCCGTTCAAAGCCAGCTGAGGTCTTGGCCCTTCTTTCTCCGTTCTCTTGTAAAGGGTTAGAAGCCTTGTTAACAGGAAGTGAATTCGTCCCATCAAACAGTCTTCTGTTGATTTTCTCCTAGCAGAAAGGTCAGTGTTGGGTCTCCCTTGTAACCGCATATCCCCGAGAGCCTCACAGCCAGTCCAGGGTTTCCATGCATGGTATATTCAGGTCAGATCGAGTTCCTGCTGTGGTAGTTTAGGGCCTTTGTATTTGGATCTGAAACCCTTCCAGCTTCCCGCCCCTACCCCCGCCCCCACACACAATATTTTAAATGGCATTGCTTACACACCATATTGAGGCTACTTAAAACAGGTTGGAGAAAATCCAGTATTTAATGACCACATCTTTGTTGGGGCCCATTCAATTGATTCTTCAATGTGTGTACTGTGGCACCTTAATTATAGATATATATCAGATTTCTACCGATGAAGACATTTTCAGTGTGGATTGCTTGTGGGGAGAAAAGTTAATCTGCCCTGACTGTAGTTTCCCTCCTGTTAGCCACATGGTCATGTCCAAGGTGTTTGCAGACTACTGAATCCAGCTCCGCCCCGTGGCTCCTCAAGTGAGTTCATTCATTTTCCTCACCATTGGCTTCATCAACTGTGAGATGCGGGTACAGCAGTGCAGACATGTACACACAGGGCTCAGCTGATTGCTGGCCAATGGCATGCATCAAGGAGGTGGCATCTGCCATTCATGACCCCATAATTAGGTTCACAGGCCTTCAGGATCCAGCACCTGCTCACCTTTTAGTGGGTGTTTCCTAGCCCATGGGCCATGGTTCTCTTCCAGGGATTAGCAAGCGTCAGTGCAGTACTCCTTTGACTGTGCTTTTATTAGTTGTTTTAGGGCAAAACCTATGTCTTAGTATCCTGCCAGAGCCTCTGAAATACTGGGCAGGGAGCAGGAAGTGTCATTCTCACTCTGGTCCTTGCTCTCAGCTAACTGGTCTTCCTTCTACATATACACACAGCTGTCCAGCATCCCTCCCTCTGGGAAAACCCTCTGTTGTTCCTGCAGTGGTCCCACTTGGTCTCGGGAGGCTGACTGTGACCCAGGTAAGAGCTCTGTCCCTGGGGCCCCGTTGGGGGTTTCTGGGGACAGCTGCTCTGTTGCTTGGGTATTGTCAGTGCTGGAATCAGTGTGCACAGGGCTTAATTGGATTATGGTGTCTGGAGACTGGATGAGGCTGACAGGGCGGAGCCTCTGTGAGGGCCACTGTGGCTTGGGAGAGAAGGAAGAGCATGCTCCCTGAGTTTCTCTGCGTGCTACTCACTGTGTGCTCATCCTTCAAGTCATCCCCTAGCCTTACCAGATGCCTGAACCAGCGGGGCTTCCTGATGTGAGCCTGCAAGTTCCCAAAACCATGAGCCCAACTGAACCCCTAGCTTCCTGGTAGCACCCAAGTATTTTAACTATAGTGACAAAAAGCTCATGCATGAATACAGTCATCCTTTGGTATCTGAGGGACATTGGCTCCTGGATCCTGCACCTCCCAGCCCCACCCACCAAGTCCCTCATAGACAATGGCATCTTTGCACAGAGCCTAGACGCTTCCTCCTGCATACTTTAAACTGTCTCGACATTACTCCATAGGATCTAGCACAATGCAAATGCTAAATAGGTCATTGTTACACTATATCGTTTAAACATTGATGACCAAAAAATAATCTGTATATATTCATTACAGTTACAATTTTTCCCCTGGATGTTTATGGTTGAACCAACCTACAAGTGCAGATCCTGGAGAGAAAGGCCTGACTCTGTGTGGCATCCTGTTTGCCCCATCTGCCCTCCCCATGCCAAGAGCAGACATTCCTAATCACAGCATTTGTTTCCCTTCTGTGAAACCAAGTTAGGTCCTCAAATCCTGAGGAGCACCAGAAAATCCCCACTCGGTGAGCAGGATTGATAGGTCTGAAAAATCTCTCATCTGTCCCTGCCTCGCGTGCCTAAGGAATGCCAACAACAGTTTCAAAATGCAATCAATAGCTACAAGCTGGGGATTGCACTGAAACCTGTAAGAATTTGCCTGTTATTTGTCTTAAAGCTTCGGATGCCTGCTCCTCAGAATGTACTGAAAATCACACAAACATGCAGACGTACACCTGCCTGCCAACCACACGTCACAGGTTGCCACCAGAGTGATTCCCCACACATGGCGGTCAAGGGGACTCTCTTTGAGGATCCCTCCCAATCCCAACCCACACTTCTGAGGATACCTGCTGACCCTTGAGTTAAACAAGGGGCAGAAAACACCCCCAGCAGTGGGGTAACTGCCTAGGTTGCATTGAACCCAGGCAAGTGTTACACTGCTGGGAAAAAGCAGCTAATAGCTGGTGGGCATCCCTGGCCTGGTTATTGCCAAATTTGTGTTAACTGTACTAACGTGCCAGCAGACAGGGTCTGGGGATGCACAAGCAAGTGTACGTGAGCCCTAGGTGGGCTGGCTTGGTGCACCACCGGAGGACTGGCTTGGGGCTCTGTGGGCATGGGGGCTGTGGATTGCTCAGGGAAGTGAGTGTGGAGACGTGTGGGAGGGAGGGCTTCTGAGGGAAAACATGACAGGAGGGGAGAGACTTCTGGGGGACTTCCATTGATCAGACTACTAGACATACAGGCATTCACACCAACCAAAGCGGGGGGCAGACCAGGGGATGATTTGGGGGAGTCACTCTGAATAGGCTGCAGTTCCTGCTGGTGTGCATAAAGGGTGAGTAGTAGTGGGCAGGGTTAGGCTGTACCACAGCATCCATTGGTCTGTGTATGAGATGGGACTGGGGACAGAACTGATCAGTGACTCCAACTACCAGTGTGTGTGTAGGCTGATGTGGGTGGTGGACTGAGCAAGACCCCATACTGGCTAGCACAGAGAGGGGTTGGTTGGGGTCATCTCTGGCAAGATTTCTTTGGGGGACCCCCAAGTGGATTACTGAACTCAGAATTCCAACCACAAGGAAAATCACAGGATCTGAGGTCTGACAATAGAGTGCATGTGTCATAATTGGGTCTCCATGGTTGCTGAGGCCTGTGCATTGGATGGCATGCCCAGATGCTCATGTGGGGCACTGAGGCCTGCAGAGGACGTCTAGCACTATGAAGGGCAGAACAAATTGGACAGCTCTCCTGGACAAGCTCTGTCAGCGAGTATCTGGGTGAACAGAGACTCTGAAGTAGACTACGCCAGCCAAAGGATCTTGGAAGGATTTCCTCAACCCTCTTTAGAGCAATGAAACCAACAGCATCTCAGAACTATCAAAACAGCTTAAATAGTACCTCAGAACACGCTGCGCATTGGGGACCCTGGGATATCAGGTAGCTGTCCCCCATTCCCAGGTACTGATGCAGTTGAGCTGCTGGGAGCAGCCCTCTCCCCTTCTCTCCCCACTTTTCCCAGACAGAGGAATAAATTGGAGGCAGTTGCCTCATCCACTTTCCTCCATTCTCCAACCCTCCCCACCCAAATCGGTGGTCCACACGGGCATGCATCCCCTTCAACTATGTAAACATCATCAAAAATAAAATGAATTTATTATAAAAGGAAAAACAAGGAGCAGAAAACACCAACCCTTCAAGACTGGCAGTGCCAGGCAGACATCCCGAAAGGGGGATGAGCTGCAGTGACAGATCATGGAGTGCCGTGTGAGTTCCTGACAGCACCCAGAGCATCTAGAAGTTTGCAGCAGCAGAGAGCTTAACAAGTTTATTTCTGGAACTTACAAGAGAGCTTAGCTGTGTAATGTGTCTCTGTTGCATATGACATTACC